GAGTAGTTTAAATGTAAAAGTTAAAATGGGTACCCCATATTCTCATCAATCAAACCCTGTAGAAAGATTTCACAGGACATTGTGGGCACTTTTAAAAGCAAAAAAAGTCAATGGGTCCCTAGACTGGGAAAAGTCCCTGCCCACTTTAGTTTTGGCTTATAATGCTACTCAACATTATTCTACATTATGCAGTCCCGCGCGCTTATTTCTAGGAAGGGAGACAAACCTGCCTCATCTATCCTTGCTGCCTAAATTCGGAGATGATACCCCCCCCCAACCCCCCAGCCCCACACCTTAGAGGAGGAGTTGGCCCTGATCATCGACTTGATGAGAAGACAAGATGCAGCGAGGATAAGACGCCAGTTTCAGGCATTTACAGGACCAATTGAAGACTTCAAAATCAACGACCTGGTATATGCTGCAGTACTTCCCCCTGTCGGAAACTCTAGGAAGCTTAATATCTCCTGGTCTGGTCCGTTACAGATCACAGAAATTATCAACCAAGCTATGGTTAAAATTAAGGAGTTAAATGTGGACAAACCTCGCCTCATGTGAGCAAGCTTCAGTTGGCAAAGAAGATGGGAGAACGTGATCCTAATCCCATCTTCATTCTACCAAGGTTACCAAAAGAAGATATGTTACAGCTGGCCGACGAATTATCTGAAATTAATTTACCTTGTAAGGTAAATGACGATATAGTTGATGAGTTCTACGAAGACATCAACCACGGGAGCCAACACCAAGATGATGATTCATCAACTGGACAGATTAGAAGTATCACAGGAGAAAAGAGTGGCAGCAACAAAACAGAGCCAATCAGAAGCAACACTCTGAGTGACAACAGCAACAGTGCTGAGAGGAGAAGCCAATCCTCAGAAGAAGACCTCCGAGAAGAAGAGTCTGAAGACAATCACGATCTATATCAATCATTTAGAGACTCAGATCAGTCTATCAATCAATCAACAAAGCACCGGAGCAACACTATAGAGAACACTATGTTGAGAACACATTGGTACTATTTTCTTAGTTGCATATTTGCTTATCATTCAGAAAATACTGTACAAAAGATATTAATATGATCAGTTATTGAGGAAAAGGATAAAAAAATACCAACAAATAAATAGTAAATATAAAAAATCACGGTACTTCCATTAAACATATTTAACATCAAATTCAGTGATGGTTAATTATTTCTGTTAAATTCTTGTTCCAGCTTTCAATGATCATTGATTATACTTGTTTAATTATTCCATGTGACATTTGTTCAAAATTTAACAAACATAATGACGCATAAAATAAAAAACTTTGTTTTTTTGTTCTTCTGCTGCAACTGATGTGAGGTAAACTGTGACTGGTGTGTTTCTTGGTATGCAACTCGCAAGTAACTGGTCTGACTCTGGTGAATGAAGTGAGTGACCGCCCTGACTCAACACTCAACAGTAAGCGGACACGGTACCTATAAGGCTATGGGAGAACACTCCTCAAAGAATGGGACCCCCACCAATCAGGACAAGGAGCAGGTCAAGGGAGACCAGAGCAGCTTCATTGGAGAAACTGAACCAGCCAGGGAGTATCAAAATTAATAAGTCACTTTGTATTGACAAAAAGTCAAGATATTCAGTAGGAAATTGGTCAGCTAGTAGACAAGGAAGTAAGGAAGTAGAAGGAGAAAGTAGTAGTTGGACGGACAGTGAAGACGACATTGACAAAAGAAAAGAGGGTGGGATTCATGTCATTGGGAAAAGAAAGGTCTTAATTGCAAAAGTAGAAAAAACAGTAGTGATTCAGCCCAGGCAAGGAAAATGGATACCAGTTAGTGTTGACAATTTAAATAAAAAAAATAAAGATGATTTTTTAATTCCAGTAGTAACGGGTTAAATACAATCATTGTTATTTGTTTGTCCAGTTCTCAACTCATGATAAAACTTAGCTTGGGTTGAATGAACTAGAATCAACGTATACATTTCTGGGTGGGTTTACACTATAGAAGAGAAAAAAAATTTTAAATAAAAGATCAATAAACTAATTTCAATATGAAATTAGCTTATTTATGTTGAACACTATAATCATTTCATAAATTATCTAAAAGCAAGCTAAGTGGTTGAAATCAGAAAATCCTTTATTTTCAACCTACAAAGCTTTCTTATGCACAACATTGAACAATACTGGATATAAAATTAATTATCCTATTCATTAAAAAAAAAGATAGAATGTTTGCAAAATGTACACTGTATTCCTTAGGAGAAATGTTATCAAACTCACAACTAGGGTTTTCGCGAAAATGAATTTTGCGAAAGGAAGCAAAAATAATGCGGAATTCGTAAAAAAACAAAACAATGCATGCGACAATTTCGCGAAAAATTTCTAAAATGTTCGCATTTTTCGCGAAATTTCCCATTATTCTGTTTCGCGAACAATTGCAAAATTTTCGCGAAACGATTTCCTTTTTTCGCTGGAAACCAGAATGGAGTTTGAAGTGGGTTTTCAAACTGCCTCGAACTCCACCATCACATGCCAGGGGATGGATGTACTGCTGGATGGATCTATACAGTCAGGAATCGTAATGCACACAGAATACGAGGTAACAATAGAGGAAGAACTGTTCACCAAGAACCATGATCACATGATAGCAAGATCATCATCGGAGAAGTTAACATGTAACCCACATGGTCCAGGACTAGGTTGTGTTGGAGCTCTTCACACATATGCCTGGAATCCACCAAAGAGTAACTGCCTGTTCAGAGAAGTAAGAGAACTGACAGGAGTGTTTTCCACCTGGTCTTTCGCGGTGGAGCAGTCTCAGATTTATTACGAACTCAAAGGAGTTCAAAACCTACCTAGTGAATGTGGAAACCACAAAGTTCAGATTACCAATGTACAAGACATTTATCTACTAAGAACAGTAGAAAACACAGAGGTCAAACTTCATCCAATTAGTCCTGAAGAGCTAAGCAATGCGGCGGAGCTAAGGTCGTTAGCTCTATTCCTACGTTACAAGATGGAAATTGGAGAAGGAAGAAGAAATGAGTTGGGAATCCAAATGTCTTGTGAAGCCAATGTCAAGGAACCCTCCGAAGCTCCGCCTCATCATTTAGGGGGAGGGGTGTTTGTGTTTAAACGCGGGAAAATCGTGTATCAATACACGTGTTATCAAATGACAGTCAATTTAATAGAAAAGGAACATTGTTATCTCGATATCCCGATCCATCAAGAGAAAGATTACAAGTTCATCTCTATTGCCAACAGAATGCTGATCACCTCATCAGCTCAGGAACCCTGCGTGCTACATTTCTCAAAAGCAATAAAAGGAATTAAGAATTGGATTAAGATAAGTCCCAAGCTCAGGTCCATTCCTCCGCCACGGTCAGAGACGAAGGAGACTGCCCAAACCCATCATGAAGATGAATTGGGTCTGTACACCCAGGCGGAGGAACGAGATTTCGACCACGTGGCGGGTTTGGCCTATTATACATCCCAGGTTCAACAGCGAATCGTCCATGCTGTCTGCAAGAATGATGAGAGCTGTGAACTGAATCCGTTACCAGGAAGTCCATCGTATTCTCTGACGAAACTAGAACAAGAAGCCGAAGATTTTATAACGTTGGGCGGATGGAACTTTTTTCTCAAGAAAGTATGGGAACCAGTGTGGTATGCAATCCGAGTATATGCAACTATAGGAGGATGTATTACTACAACACAGTGGGCGTTCTGGGTCTTAAAGGTCATGAAAAAGGGACTGGGTGCCTGCTGCCATTCTCCCGTGGCGGAGAACAAGTTCAGCGACGCCATGCTCATGGAACTCATGGGGGACTCACACCATGCTTCCTCCACCCCAGCAAGAAAAGGCGGAGTACGTTTTTACTGAAGGAAAGGTTCTGATGGAGAAGTAGAGTTGGGAATCCCTAACTAACTCATGACGATTGATTCTATCATCATACTCCATGCTGATAGAATCAAGGGTGGATGTAAACCCATCCAGAAATGTATATACGTTGGAGATTGTATTCTAGTTCATTCAACCCAAGCTAAGTTTTATCATGAGTTGAGAACTGGACAAACAAATAATAATGATTTAACCCGTTACTCTGGATCTGTTACCAACTGCGAGAGGAAATTTCCAGGGCAGCAAATTCAAACCCTGGTGACCCTTATCCGGGAAACACGGATAATGGTGCTTTCGTCGGCAGAGAAAGCAAACTGAACGTCCATTTTGTCTCCGAGAAGAGGGTCAGTCTTGATGAAGTATCAGAAGAGAGCGGTCGATAACATCTCCAGTAGCTCCGAGAGGAGAATTAGCTCCATCTATGATTCCAGGATTAACTTCGGTTGATCCTCAGTTTGTATTTCAATAATAATGTAAAATAAATGTCCGTGCAAAGTTAGTGCTTTAATCGATTCCATCTGGCTTGTTATATTGAGTTTCTCTTTGTAAAGTTTCCTTTATTGAGTTCTTTATACATGAGTTTCTATTAAGTTTATAATATAATAAGAAACAATGTATGCCCATCCACGTGGATTTAACGGTTCTGTCTATATATATCAGAAAGCTGTGACTTTCGATCGCAATCTGACCCATTAAACATAATTTTTTCGCCTTTTTTCTTAAATACTTTCTTGTCGGAATATACATTTTGAATGAAAAAGTATATAATAACAAATCCGAAAGTTTAAAGATTGTTAAATTGTAGACCAAAACACGTGTGATTTCAAATGAAAGAAACCGAATGCTTCTCACTCTGGTTAGTCCGGGGTGCATCTCTCGCTTTAAAACTGAATAACATCAATTTTGATGATTCAAACATTATTAATCGTGTTTTGAAGGATTTTTATGATGATACATAATATAGACAAAGTGACTAATGAAATTTTTTGGCAAGAAATAAAATTTAAAAAAGTGCAGCTTCTTGCTTAACCGAAGATTTGAATTATTTTCATGACCTGAATAAACTGCTAGTGACTGGATGCATTAATACGAGGGGGGAAGGCAAGCTGGAAGATACATGGGTGCGGCTAAGGATCGAACAGCTACGGGTGAGCGCGTTTGTGAGTGAGTAAATTGCGGATGGAGTCTAAACAGGGGCGCAGTGACGCAATTTAGGGAGTATATTTCGCCCCCCTCACTCCCCTCACTTGATTCTAGCATGATCATGATAGTGAACCATCTTTAATAAAATTTTGCCATTTAAGAAAAAAATACTAAAATTTTTCTTAAGTCCGGCGCATAGAATTTCTAATAGAATTTCTAACTATTTTCTTGTAAAAAGTCAGTCATTCCTAATCTACTCTCTCAAAAAAAACCTGAGTATTACAATACATCAATTAAGGTTACATAAAACCTGACAACCTAAATAACAAGAAATATACCTAGGATTATAATTTTTTAACTTGACGACATCTTCTTTAAATGTCGTCTTTTGAAAAAATTAAAATTTCCTAAGCGCATTTGCCGCTGTTCTTGTTTTTGATTGATTGAGAAAAACTAAAAAGTAAGCGTCGGAAATACTGAAACTGCTTAAAACGATAGTTATTTTATATTTATGTTTTTAAACGCACAGTTTCCCTCTTAAACAAATTAAATTTGTTTAACATGAAATTAGGAAATATTTTTTTATTTGTTTTTTTACAGAAAAGTTGCACACGTTGGTCCTTGATTTGTATCTCACATACGACGCAAAAACAAAAAGGGTCTGTCCTAGTATACGATTTTTGGACCCCCCCCCCCCTATCAATTTTGTACATGACCNTACAAAATTGAAAGGGGGGGTGGGATTGCAAAAAATCGTAAACTAGGACGAATCCAGGGGTGTAACAATCCTTCTCTAGGAAATCCCCTCAATTGCCGGATGCGTTTAAGGTTTAAAGAATAATTAAAGATTTTTACTTTATTTTCAGATATGAATAAAAAACAGAATGGTGACTCCAAGAGTCACGGTGGGGAGGGACGACCCGGGCATGGTGGGGAAGGTCGACATGGAGGGGAGGGAAGAGGGCAGGTTGGTGAAGGAAGAAGTCAAGGTGGGGGTAGAGGTGGAAAACCTAGATCAAGAAGTAACTCTCAAAATGGAGGGAAAGCTGTAAGGGTAAGTAAATGATTTTTTTTGAAGTTTTAAAATTTTATGTCAAGTTTTGTAAGGTTATAAACTGTGTGTCTCTTGATGGATTTATCCGTTGCAGTTAATAAGTATATTACACCCCCGCCACCCTGGATTAATCAAAATGTTCTTATAATTTTCCGTACGCTCTCAAATACCTTCAAAATGATAGTATAATATAATTTAAAGTTCATGCTAGACAAACCTCAAGTGGAACAATGGGAAAATATTTCCAAGAAAATAATACCCTTGACTGACAAATAATATAGCCCATCTTATATACCATTGTCACCATAATCAAAATTGAACAGCTTTTAAAAATGCATTCTATAGGGGAATATGATGCACTAAAGTATAAATCCAACAAAATTATGTCTTATTAGCTATCGAATTCAGAGAAGAAATTAAAAAAACAAATTAAGGTGCCGTGGGACCCCCCCCAGTGCAGTTTAGGCGTTATATGCATGTTTGCGCTGAGCGCATTTATTTTTTTATGGTTGGGAAAATATATAAATCTTTGGGTTAAAAGTATCAAAAAGAATGACAAAACTTGCCTTTTGATATAACTACTTCCGTGGCTGGGCGTAAGTACAATTCTTTTTTTTTGTGTTTTAAAGCCTTTCTAGGGGTGTTACTACAACTCTTTAAGGGACTGTAAACGTAATTTCAAGTAACTAGGCAAATATGGCAATGCACGATTTACCACTGTGTCCTTGAAAGCTTTATCTATTTAAGTATGAATTTTTGTTACTTAAAAATTGTTAATTTTCATTTGCTGTTTCTCTGCGAAATAGACTTCACATTTCTTGCTCATATATAACTCGCAGAAATAAACACTTTTTGAGTCAGAAAAATGATCAGATGAAGGTTTCCGGAGTACCATCTTTGCATCGAGGTTCACTTAAAATTACGCGAACAGTCTCTTTAACTGTTAGGTTAAAACTGGCGGAGGTGGTGGAAGGGGGCGTGGCAGGGGCGGAGCATTAGCGGGCAAGCCTACTAGAAAGCAACAGAAACCATCAAGGTGAAATATATTAAATAAATTCGTTCTAAGAAATAATTAGGTTTATGATAAAAAGGAAAGTTTAGGATCACAAAAAAAGACTTAAAAACATGCAATCTAGAGAAAAGTTTATCGAAATATCAATAATTCAAAGTTTAAACCATTTATAAATAACTTTAAAAATCAAATATTACTTAATTACAAAGTGTTGGTAAATTGTACGAAAAATTAACATAAAAAATGTTAAATAGTTTGACATACATGCATACTGTACACGGTACAGTGTTCATGTACATGTACTGTATAGTGCTCAGTGTACTACATTACGTACAATCCTAATGAATTCTAGAGATTATGAGGATGAAGAGTGGAGAACAGTTTATATTGGATTTATAGAGAGAGGAACTACTGAGGAGGAATTACTCAACCATTTCAAGGTTTGCAACGTACACTTTTTGCCGACATAAATTCAGTGCTTAGAATCCGATCAGTGCATAGGATCAGGAAATTTCCAGATTTCTGAATGGTTCACTAAGTTTCAACAAAAAAACGAAACAATAAGAAGAAAAATGTTTTAACTTTTCCTTTGTTTAAAAATCCTAAATCTTGAAGAAATATTAAGAACCTGGATTCGGATCCATTTATTTTTAAGGCGGATCCAGGATCCGGATCCGCATCCGGATCCGCATCAAAGTGAAATGGATTCATGTGATTTAAAGAGTTAAATGTCCAATTGATAACGGAACCCATTTCAACTGCTGTTGTCTTAAGCATAAATCTCTAATAAAATAGAAAAACCTTCTTTGCGATTTTTCAATTTAAATGACTTAATGAAGGACGAATTTTACAAAATTAATGGCATTTTAAATTAGAAAAATTAAGATATCTTCATCAATTTTAGTTGGATAAATGTTGTAAGGTACTGTTGTGAATCTGTCATGTAACCATTTCATTAGAGGGTCCCTTCAAATTACACTGAATGGCTCTTTACTGTAGAAAGAATAAAGATTAGAACTTAGTGTGGATATTTCACCCAAAGTTCTCTTAGATATAATTCTTAGAAATTAAGTCCCTCTCTCCCCCTACTGAATTTTGCAGTATTAGGTAAAATTATGAACTGTAGGGGAATCATGTCATTTAATGCGGATCCTGGATCCGCCCTAAAAATATGATTCCCGATTCGGATCCAGGTCCTGATTTTTTCTTCAAGGTTTACTTATTTTTAAACAAACTAAAAAAGTTTTCAACAATTTTCTCTTTTTTAGTTTAGTTTTGGGATTACTCCAATGAACCCTAATGGGGTGAAGTAGTAGTTATTTTTTTCTGTTAATAAAATAAGAGAGATTTAATTCATGTACGTAAGAATAATATAAAAGATGGGTTCTCTGTAATTTTTTTTTTATTGAATCTCATTCTTTTATTGATAAATTATTTTCTTTTTTTGCTGTTTTTTTCTGAAACTTCATGCTTTGCTTTGGTTGATAATTTTTTCCCTTGGATCCGGATGCGCGGATCCGCGTATTTTTGCCAAACTGTTGCGGATCCGGATCCTAAACACTAAGGGGAATATAACAGATGATTAAGTAAAAGTTGTTAAGCACAATAAAAACCTTGCCAGTTAATGTCCAGTTTTATTTTCTCATCAAAATTTCCAAATGTCAGGAATCTGGGGAGGTGGAGAGGTTGACTCTAAAGGAAGGATTCGCGTTTATTTTGTTCAAGGAAGAGAAATCTGTTCAGTTAGCATGCAGGTCAGTCTGTACAGAGTACTTGATTCCTCCTCAGCCGGAAATTTAACAGAGTATCTTTGAACTAAACTCCCGAGTTTCCATTTTTGGGGTCTTAGCGTTTGTGCAGATTTTTATTTAAGAAATAAGAAAACCAAAACCAAATATAACAAAACCAAAAAAAAATAATATTTCGGAACAAAAATACTTGTATCTACAAAACTGTCAAACTCCATTCATGAAACTGGGGTTCCGATAGGGTTTTCATAACGATGCTCTGCTTTAAGTTTTGGCTTTGTGGATTAACGCCCCCTCCACCCTACACATTATTAAATTATCTCACAAATATTTTGATTGGAGATCTTCCTTTATTACTCATTAGGCTGGTAATTCTAGTTTGAAAATATTTGCAATTCTAATCTGCCAACGGATAAAAATGTTGATGAATTCAAAGTGATAGAAAATGTAAAAAATAGTTGGAGATGATTTTTTAACATTTGAATTGCTATTGAAATCAAGAAATTACTTGATTAATTAAAGAGATTGTTGACTTTTTTGATAACCTTTACACCCATTTTAAAAGGAACTGTAAGCGTAATTGCAAGTGACCCTTTTTGCAAAGGTGCAATGCCCGATTTACAACGATACCCTTGAAAACTTATTTTTATCAAGTTAGAATTAGTTATCAATGTATGTATTTGTTTCTTTAAACTGTTCATTATTATTTGCGGTTTCTCAGCGAAAGTGACTCGCGTATTTTCTTCTTATAAAAAGCTATGAAGAAACTCGCAGAAATAAGCATTACGATCAGAAAAGCGAGAGTTTCTACCACATTTTGATAAGATCTCTTTAAATTACGCATACAGTCCCTCTAAAGAAAAAAATGATAAAAATATTAACTAAAACGAAAAATAAATAGTTTGGATGGAACTCCTCTCAGAGGATTAAATCTCCGCGTAGCGCCAAGGAAGGAGAAACCCCCCGAGGTAACTTAACTTAAAACAAAATATAAAAAAGATTTGAAAGATTTTCGGAGATTAACAGGCCTTGGTTACAAGGTATGTATGTATGAAAACTACAGATAAGAGGGATAGGGTATGTGAAGTATTTTGACTGATCAACAATCATTGTTATTGTTTTGATAAAACTCGTTCCCCGCACTCCTAATTCGTCATAGTCAAATATGTTCCTAAAGCCTTACCCCCTTACCTATAGTTCATATTCCTAAGACGCTTATAGAAGAAAACAAAGAGACACCAGATTAGGAAAATTCTTATTCATGATTTACTTCAGGTTGTTGGTGAAGTTCTTCTTGATTTGGATATGAAGAAGTTCAGGAATGAAAAGCAGGTAAAAAATGAAGATTAAAAAAATTAAAAAAGATTGATTGATTGATTGATTGATTGATTGATTTATTGATTCTTTAAGGAGAAGCTGTTTACAGATTTGGAAGATTTCCTCCAGACCTTTGATTGTGTCGGCAGCTTTAGTCAGGACCAGAAGGAAGCAAACTCAATTGTTATTCCAGGTAGATATTCAGTTATGCGTCGGATCAAATCAATCACTGAAAAGGACTGTCAACTTAGTTTTAATTGACCCCTCTTTAAAGTTTCGTGTTTTATGGAAAAAGGTACTCACCCTTTTCCTTCTTTCCCTCCCTCATTTTCTGCACAGCATACATCTAGGAAGCCACAATTTAAAAAAAAATCAGTCAAATATTTAACAGGAACCACCGTGAATCAGACATGCCAATCCATGAATTGGGCGTAAATTAAAATCAGGTTTACAGTCCCTTTATAATTTTTTGTCTGCAGGTTGTCCGCCTGTCCTGGACTGGAACAAGATGGAGGCGGAAGAGGGTGAGATTCGGCTTATCCGTCAGGCGGAGAATGCTCCAGAGTTGAATACTACAGATTCTATCAGGAAATCTGTTCAGCACTGTTCTCCAGACCTGGACTTCTCTAAGGTATTTAGCGTAGTATCTCGGGGGGGGGGGGTGTTTTCCAAGTGTCTAGTTTGACTAATTGGAAGTAAAGACGGTAACAAATAATTGTAGATAAGAGATTTTAACGAACCAATCTAATAATGAATAATTGTAGATACAGATTGTAACGAACCAATCTAATAATGAATAATTGTAGATACAGATTGTAACGAACCAATCTAAAAATTAATAATTGTAGATACAGATTGTAACGAACCAATCTAAAAATTAATAATTGTAGATAAAGATTGTAACAAACCAATCTAATAGGGAATAATTGTAGATAAAGATTGTAACAAACCAATCTAATAGTGAATAATTGTAGAATAGATTGTAACGAACCAATCTAATAATGAAGAATTGTAGATAAAGATTGCAACGAGCCGGTTAAATAATAATAAAATAAGACATTCGTAAATATGTTCCCTATCGTCGGCCAAACGAATGGGCTGAAATTTATTTGTGGACACTCATGGTTAGCCGGGGGGCTAGGCTAAAAAAATTACAATTTTTTATTTTATTTATTTTATACTGGCCATTCAGCTATTCAATTAATCTAGATTAAGGTTGTAAAGAACTGGTCTTATATGGAATAATTTTAGATAAAGATTGTAACCAATCGGTCTTGTTTGATGAAGCTATTGGCCCCTGTGGATCCAAGTATTGTTTACACAACAAACAAATGCTTCAGAATGACCGCTACCAAAGCCAGGTATATACAAAAAAAATTTATAAATAATCTACATGAGTTGATATGACTCCTCACGAAAAATGAAAGTTATCTCACGCTAATATTCAAATAACGGTTCTACGGTTGCAAACTTTTGTTTTATCAAATCACTGTTTGGCAAGAATTATTATTTAGAAGATTTTCGGGAAAAAAATTATAATTAAATATAAATTTTCCTCTTATTCTCCCTTTCTCAAACTTATTTCCCCAAAAAACCATTGATTCTTCTTATATTTATTTAATTACCCCAATTCAGCGAAAAAAAACGTTGAAAATATTTCCTAGAAAACTGGGGAACAATTATTTGTGAAGAGAAAATATATAATAAAGTGGTCTGCGTTTATATTAATACAATCAATACTTTTTTACTGATTGTTAACAAGCTAATTTCGAATTAACCAGTAAGCAGAGAGAAGCTGTTTTTTTATATAGTCTTACTTTGTTTTCATGAATGTGTATCCATGTTGTCCTAAAGCTTGTTAGAAATCAAAATCAAAAGTCGTCTTCATTGTATTGATATTAATGACCACGACGATAATATAATCATTTTATATGTTTAAAGTGAGGGACCGATATTCCTGAATCTTGAATCAAAATGGCATCCAACCATGGGAACTACAAAATCCTTTCAGGTCATAAGCATGTTCAAATGATGTTTAATAACAATAGCAAGTTTGGTTAATTGATTGATTGACTGATTTTATTTGTTTCTGCTTTTATAGATAAATCGTTTCGCACCTTGTTTAGTGGTAAATGAAATAATGCTTTTTTATTGGCTTTAACAGTATCTTGTTTGATGGTAATTTATTGTTTGATCTTATGATTGATTGTGGTTGATTGGATTGTTGGCAAGTTAAAGGTATATAATAAACAATAAATATATATTTATTGATTATGCCATTATGTTTTGGACACTGGCTTATATATTGATTGATATTTAGGACGCTATAACTGTCCCACTACCAGAGAAAGTGAAGAATCTGGCTCATCCCGGGATTTTCTACAGGTACGCATCCGGATCCAGGTCATGAACATTTATTCATGATTTACTATTTTTTTCTACACTTAAAAATAGTTCAAGTTTTTCTTTCTTTCTTTACTTATTTTAAATGCTGAAACTTTATTGACTAGTCAGAGATTATGAAGTTTACAATAATCGTTTATTATTTAATAGTAATTAGTATTTTGCTCTTGGATTCGAATCCGTGGATCCGTATATTTTTGCGGATCCGGATCTAGGAAACCAAAATGTTGCGGACCCAACTGACCACAGTGTCAAAGTGTAGGGAGTTTTTCGGCTCATTGATCTTATTTTAGATAATTTTCAAAAAGTAAAGAACGGCTTTATTCATTTAGGATTATAACATTTGATCTTGGAAAGTTGACTGTCATGGTTAGAACACAGGTCAGATATTTTTGACTGTTTTGATTTCTTCCCCTTAAAAAAAATGAATCTTTTAGCAACAAAAATTTATAATTATTATAAAAATTTATAATTATTATAACACCCTTTTTAAAATAGAATATTTATTTGAAGGAAGAATGATCTTAAAATTTGTTAACTCTAAATTTAATTTATTTAAAATGTGTTATTAATTATTGATAAACTGAATCTATTGTGTGTTTATTGATTAGATCTTTTATTGATTGGTTAATGGATTCCATGATTGGTTCATTGCTTGATTGATTAGGTTCACGCTGAGGATGAAGAACCAATGCTGGAGTTTGAGGAAGATGACAACGATGAAGGTGATTATTTTTATATAGTAGTTTTTTTTCTCTTGTTATATTAATTTATTTAGACAAAAGTTGTGGCGATGATTTTTTCGATATCGAGGAGAGAAACGGCGACGAGACGACTACCAAGGCGGAGACTAAACCGGATGTTGTGGCAGCAGAGGATGAGGCTGCGGCGGAGAAAATTAAAAAGTTGAATATCACCGCCAAGGAGTTTGTTCCGCCTGTGCATTCCTGGAATACAGTTCCGGTAATTTTTAAAATTTTTATTTTTATATATTCATCTGTTCATACAGTTCCGGTAAACTTCATAATTTTTATTTTTATATTTCATACAGTTCCGGTAATTTTCAAAAATTTTATTTTTATATTTCATACAGTTCCGGTAATTTTCATAATTTTTATTTTTATATTTATCAGTTCATACAGTTCCGGTAATTTTTATAATTTTTATTTTAATATTTATCTCTTCATACAGTTCCGGTAATTTTCATAATTTTTATTTTTATATTTATCTCTTCATACAGTTCCAGTAATTTTCAAAATTTTTATTTTTAAATTTATCTCTTCATAGTTCCGGTAGTTTTCATAATTTTTATTTTTATATTTATCTCTTCATACAGTTCCGGTAGTTTTCATAATTTTTATTTTCATAATTATCTCTTTATACAGTTCCGGTAGCTTTCATAATTTTTATTTTCATAATTATCTCTTCATACAGTTCCGGTAATTTTCATTATTTTTATTTTTATAATTATCTCTTCAACCTTTTTTATTGTTATTTAACTATGCCATTTAATACCATTTTGAAGATGCTGGTACCTTTGTCATTAAACAGAAATAAAGACAGATGCTATCATGTATAATTTCTATATTTGCCAATTTTACTCTAAACCTGGGAAAAACCTTTGTCCAGGTGTCTGGTGATCTAATCATTTATTTTAAAACAGGAATCTTCTTCAAACCAATTAGTGACAGCCAGCCACCGGAATGTACCACGAGGGCACGGGCGTTAAAATTTGTACTCTCGGTTGGTTTGGACTCCAGGCCGCTCTTCACGGTGGTGCGTGGTGCCCTGAAGGCAGTCTTGGGGTTCCACATTGGGTTCCCTTTCAGATTTAAACTTGACTTGACTGAAATAATAAATTTTTGTTGAAGGAGTTTTCGTAAAAAAAAGACTTCCATACAAGTCTGATCTAATCTGATCTGATCTAATTGTTCAGGGCAGTGATCTTCGCTGGGTTAAAAATGACGGAGTATTCACTCAGCCTGAGTCAAGGTAAGATTAAAAATAAATATGACGAACATTTCATGACCGTGTCAAAAGAAAAATCTGAAATTGAGTTTTCAACACTGTATTTGAAATCATTGAATTTAACTTCAGATTTCTTCATTTGCTTTGTTCAAACAAACAAAAAACATTTAACAAAATATTTTCATATAGTTTTAGTAAAAAGTGGTGTTCAGTGAAATGACAAAACTTTGTTTTATATTTTATTTTTAGTAAGAAGCTGCCTTGTTTACAATTACTTGTATTAAAAAATAGTCTACTTTACTTTAAAATCAAATGTAATCCATTAGAAAATATTTAAATTTGGCTTGTCTGTCTGTCTGGGTGTCTGTCTGTTTGTATCCAATAAACGTCAAAACGGCTGAACCGATCGGGCCCAAATTTTTTGTGGGACATCTAGGGACCCCAGGGAAGGTTTATTAAAAATCAAAATTTCAAATATTTGTCTCCATCAAAATTCAATCGTCATTAAATTTTTAAAAATTTTGAAAATCCGCGAAATTTTTTGTGAAAATCCGCGAATTATTTTTGTTTTGTTTTACGATGTACACAAAGAGAACATGTTCACAATTAATTTAGAAGATGGGCGCGAAGCGCGCTCTAAGGCTAGTATTTATACATTTATATATATATTCATTATTCACCAAACGGCTGAACCAGATTGACTACATTTTTAAGGGAACCCTTGGCTACATTGGGGTAACATAGGCTAAAATAAATTTTAATTTTTTACCAAAATTTAAATATTTTTAATTCGAAATTTTTCAAGTGTTTTTAAAATTCCAGGAACTTCAATTAGTAAATTGTAAAACTGGAAACGTATTGTAAACCGATTTTTAGCCGAAAGACTATCTAAAGGGACTACACAGGTCGCGTTGTTTTAAATAACCCTTCACACTCACAGTGGATTTTGAGTCCTCTTGAAAGAAGCAAGGATACAGATTGTATATAATGTTTCTCAGAATTAACTATAATTTTTCTCACTACAAATTGTACATTCACGAATTCATGCATTTAAAGGTAATTTGGGTATAGTGTACATCATTTTCTAATGGACTAGCCTTAGAGGGCGCTTCGCGCCCATCTTCTAAATTAATTGTGAACATGTTCTCTNTCATCTATTCATCTATTCATCTATTCATCTATTCATTTATTCATTTATTTATTTATTCCTTTATTTGTTTATTTATTTATTTATCTATTTACTTATCCATTTGTTTATCCATTTATTCATTTATTTATCTATATATATATATCTAGGTTCTAGGAACCAAGAATCCTACTGATGCAACTCTAGTTCTCTCTAAAATGGAAAGAATTCTCTCAAAGATTGTCGAACTTGCAGTTCCACTGAAGGTATTCTAAAGTATTTTACAGGGGTGCATATAAATCAAAATTACCCCTGATGATTTGAGGGGGAAAAAGTGAAAATTGGACATCAAAAAGTAACTTTCTTATTCGTCTTTTTAGTTTCTACCTAAAAATGAATCGATTTCTCCCTAAAAATCATTTTTTCCCCCAATTCACCATGTAAAACTCTAATATAAAGTTATATATGTTTTTTTTTCAGGGGGAGGGGGGTAAAATAAGTTCAAAATGGGGGAATAAATTTTCGAAAAAATACACACCCCTGGTATTTATACACTTTTCCTTGGGAGAATCCATCAGGATCCCCATTCCCCATATCTAAAAAGTTGTACTGAAGTTTTATTTTATTTATTCATAATTCTCCCCGAAACGACAGTACATTTGTATTTACAAAATCAAAAAGATTTCTTAACTCTGGTTTCATCATGAATTATTTTTATCTCGCCCTCCTGTTTCGCGACGTAGGAAATATCGTGATAAAGCTGATCACGAAAAAATAAAATCGATAAGAATGAAAATGAAATGTGGAATTTTGCTTCAGGAGAATCAGAGATTGGAGATTATTTTTGATGGAAAGAGGGAACACCTCACCTTCTACAAGGTGTCCCAGGAATAAGGAAACCATCTCCAGGTGTCCCAGGAGTAGGGAAACCATCTCCAGGTGTCCCAGGAGCAGGAAACCATTTCCAGGTGTCCCAGGACTCAGGAGTAGGGAAACCATCTCTGGGTGTCCTAGCGTCCCTGAAATAAGGACACCTTCTCTAGGTTTCCCATGAGTAGGCAAACCTCTTGATGATCATCTCCTCAAATTCGTTCTGCATTTTTACATAACCAGACTGCATACGTCATACTCTGTACAATGAAGAGTGTACTCTCTACTTTCTAGTCTTGAGAATCTACAATTCATAGCTTATTAAGTGTACAGTATGCAGTGTACAGTGTACAGTGTACACTATGATACCTTTTTTCTTCGAGAGGATTAATATCTAAGTCTCATATTTTACGCAATATTTAAACTCCCCGCTTCCAGTTTTTCAGTAATAATTCACGCTTGTTGATGGAAACTTTTGCTTTGTTTTATTAAAGATAGAACTCAAATGATTTCATGAATTCATATCAAAATTAGTTATTCTATTCTCTGCTTCAATTGAAAGGAATGTCAAGCTTGAAATTAGGTTGACAATCTATTTAAGCAATAAGCATTCAAAGCACATTTTACGATTTCATGCCATTCCTCCCCACCCTCACTCTCTTTCGTGTCATCTTAACTCCTTTCAACGATTCCGTAACCGGTGTCATAGTGCCACTTGATATTCAGCGCCTTATATTTTTTCAGACTGTAACATATTTTTTTCAGAAAACAAAATGTCAACTTGACAGATTTTACACTGAAGAAAGAAGGTAAAGTACAACACGTCAAAAGCTTATCAAAAATGAATTAGTCATGTTTTATTAATTACTTGGTAGGAAAACATAGCTTTCCCTTGAAGCTAAACTTTATCTATAAAAGTCAACCTTTAACCTAACCTAACCTAACCTAACCTACTCAACTTGGAATTTTTAAACCAAGCAAAGAACATTTCCGTGGCTGCCACGAGCTCCTAAATTCGGTCAAGGGGTTCATCAGTTAAGATCGCATATACAAACCAAATATTTATACATAATATAGATTAAGAATTTTATTAAGTGTGTGTTTTTTTAGAATAGTTCAACAAGCTTAGAATGAAGAGAAATCAACCTTCGGACAATGGGGTCGTCAGGCATCATTCATCATAATGTTGTTAACACATTCATTTATCAGTTCATCCTTACAATCTTTTATTCATCCATTCATCATTCGTGTTTTTTATGCATTCAATTTTTTATAGTTATTGTCAATTTTTCATCCATTTTTCCTCCTTGATTTCAATCATTACTCACAGAAATCTAAGTTGTATATCAACTATTGAGACTTGGCAGACTATAAAGTGTCACCAGGCCTTTACTTTTGTTTTGACTTTTGACCTTTTCAACCCAATTTGTGTGAAAACCTTAATATTAACATTAAACTTACCTAAGCTCTCACAAAGAAGGATTTTAGTTGTGCAATCATAATATCAGCAAAGTTTACAGAATCTGGTTTAGGATAAAAATTATACAAATAGTGATACAAATTATACTAATATTGATAAAAATTATACTAATATTGATAAAAATTCGGAAAAAGTGGGCTGACTTAAAAAAAAACATTTTACCCTTGGAATGCAGCTCGACTGATGAATCTTAATATTTATATTTTTTTCCTTCTTCTTGAATGAACGATGTTCAAGAGACATTTTTTTCTCTCCAGGAGAAGGAAGATCAATTGTTTGAGAATTCAAGAAATCCTGAAAGACAAAGCAGGGGATCAGGTAGGAAATCATATTTGAACATTATTTTTTTCGTTATATGTTGATTTCCAGTTTGAACTACGCGGAAATGCGCATTAAATTAAAGTTTTTTCTAGGCTCAGAATCTACTCGAAGAAATCTCGACGATAGAGGATCACCTTTATTTGGAGCACCAATGCCAGGTCGAAATGATTCCACCAGGCGGCACCACGGGTCTCCTGATGGATGGCGGGATAGAGCCAGAGATCGGGATGATGGTAGGACACGTGAACATTTATATCGTTCCCCGTCCCCCCCTTATGTATCAAAATCCTCTGCTTCGTATCCTTCATCGAACCGGAGATATCCGGTTATTGACGAGCCAGCACCCCGTCAACGGGTTGAAGCTTTGTTTGGTGCCCCACCGCCACCGCCTCAGCTCGTTCCATTCGATGATCTAGCGCGAACAAATACCCGTCTACCCGCCGGAGAGACTAACCCTTTATTTGTGGCCCCGCCACCGCCAAATATAAGTTCACCGTCCCCGCCGCCCACTGTGGGAATTGGTAATGAACGGGATCCAGCCTGGAAACAGTTTGTAGAACGAGAGAAACTCAAGGAAATCGGAATTCAAAACATAACAACGCTGAAGCATCAGCTAAAATAAGATGCTGGAAAATAATAGTTAATTTTTTTTGCCAAAAGTCGTAGAAAACTGAAATGTAAATAAGGCCAATATTAAATTTTATTTTGATATTCTAAAAAATTCTTGAAAAATCTCGAAAAAAAGTTTTTATTTCCGTTTTTATATTAGGAGGAACTTTTTAAACAATGGGAAGCAGGTCTTATCCTGCCCAGCAGTCAACAACCTACATCTCAAAGACAAGGTAGGGATAAGGGGACATGGTCAGGAAAAGATTGGATAAATATGGAGAGGAGGGGACATAATGGAACATGAGGGAAGGGCCCGAGGAGTCCGGGGACATCATGGGAAATGATTGGAAATTGTGAGAAATAATTAAAAATTATGGAAAATAATTTAAAATATGGGAAATGATTATAAAATACAGGAAATGATTGGAAATTAGGAAGCTATTGAAAATTATGGGGAAAAATGGAAACTGTGGGAAATTATTGGAAAATACGGGAAATATAGGTAAATCTCTGGTTTAGGAAATATCCACTATCTTCCAATTTTTCAGATTCAATTCGCACAACCGGCGGTCATTTGATGTCAGGTGGACTAGGAGTAGGACGAGGAGGAGTAGGAATAGGAGGAATAGGACTAGGAAGAGGCCTAATAGGAATAGGAGGACAAGGAGGAATAGACCCATCAGGACCTGAAGGAGTAGACCCTTCGACACCACTATTTGGACGCGATCCTGGCATGATGGGATTTGGTAGAGAGCTCCCTGGGATGGGAAGAGAGCAGCTCGGGATTGGAAGAGAGCAGTTTGGGATCGGAAGAGATCAGCTCGGAATTGGAAGAGAGCAGCTAAGGATGGGAATGGAGCACCTAGGGGTGGGAAGGGAGCTACCTGGATACTCATCCAGCTTGGAGGGAGCAGGGATGGGATATGGATTGGGATCTGGGAATAGACTGGTTGGATCTGGAAACATGATGGATAATATTCTCAATATGGTGATGGACACCGGTGTCAGAAATCCATCTCAGGTAGAATACCCCCCCCCCCCCCCNGAACTGACAGATTTTCTAATCATTATATCTTTGCTACCTGATGTGATAGATATTTTATAATTCACTTGTTCCAAAATTAACTCTGCTTGTTAAGTTTGTAGTAAAAAATATTTACACCATGTTCATGAAAAATCATAGTTTGATACGAGTTTTCAGTTAATTTATGCTAATCCAGACCGACTAGTTTTATCAAAATATTCAAGAGCCGTACAGTTAAATAGATTTATTTTTAGTCCAACATTGAGTTCCTGCGTACACCTGAAATGCGTAATTTGTTGCGCAAAATATTCAAGGGCCGTACAATTAACTATCTATTGTTAAATAGATTTATTTTTAGTCCAACATTGAGTTCCTGCGTACACCTGAAATGCGTAATTTGTTGCGCAAAATATTCAAGAGCCGTACAATTAAATAGATTTATTTTTAGTCCAACATTGAGTTCCTGCGTACACCTGAAATGCGTAATTTGTTGCGCAAAATATTCAAGGGCAGTTCAACTAACTATTGTTAAAAAGATTTTTTTTTAGTCCAACATTGAGTTCCTGCGTACACCTGAAATGCGTAATTTGTTGCGCAAAATATTTATGAAGCAATCAGGAACTAGGAATACATCGGACAGAGGTTACTTTTTTACTATCATCTTTTTCTTACTTTTAAAAACTTTATGTAATGTTATTTTTTTCTCTTAATCTTTCATGTATTCAGATACAGATTTTTGTTTAAGTAGCTTTTTATTATACTTTTCTTATATAAATGATTTTATCTGTTTGCTTGAAACAGTGCTTATTTGATAGGTTTTATTACTTTTACCTGAGAAATCGACATGTTATTATTCAAATAAAAAATGAAATAATTTTTTTTTTCTTTTTTACATTTTAATTATATGTTCAGAATTTATTGAGCAGTTGAAAAAAGAGATTAAAGGAGAACCATCAAAGGTAAATGCATTTTATTTAAAAAATAATATCTTTCTATCTTATTGCAAGGGGGGGGGGGGAAAAATAAATCAATAGAAAATTAGTATGTTCGATTAAATATAGTAATAATAATAATAGTAATCAGGTGTTTGTTTGGAATTCACATTCTTTTGCTGTCGGAGTATTCAGAAAGAGAACAATATTGGGCAAATGATGTTCATATTATTTTGGAATAAAATGATGAGAATTATTTTTATTTTCATTTGATGATTATCTACATTATGATCAAAAACAACTTAAAAATCGGGAGAAAAGACGGAGAAAAGACGGAGAAAAATTTAAAACTAATATTACTATATATACTTTTGGTATCAGTTTTTGAAGTTAAAAAAAGATTGGGCTGAAAACCCAGAATTTGGGTACGAATAGAAGTTTTGAACCCATACGAAGGATGCCTCAAGTGATCCATGTAAAGTAAGATTTGACTTGATATGATTTTATATTAGGTTGAGGAAGTTACAATCAGTAGTGATGAAGATATTAAAAAAGAAGTATCGGCCGATGATCTTGAGATTATTGAAGCCCCGCATTTAAGGCGGAAGAAGAAAGAAATGAATCGGAAAAGAAAATCTAGATCCCGGTCAACTTCTAGCAGTCTGGAGTCAAGGTCAGAGTTAAGGAAAGAGAAGAAGACTCCTCCAACAAGTAGATCGTCAGCCCAAAGGTATCCGATATTTGGTAAAATGTGCAATATCCCAAGCGACTAGACGCCTTTGGCTGCAATGGGGGGGGGCGCTGCGGCAAGGACAGACTTCGAAATTGCCACGTGGAAAAATACCCTTTGGAAAGTGCCTAACATCTTTTTTTTATTGGGAGTTGGGGGTACCTGAAAGCCTAGTCAAAGATTGGACCCTCTTTATATATAAAAAAGAATAATGCCACTGGCTGCAGGGACAATAAATTTGATTATTTTACGTATTCTAGATCAAATGAATCGAGGGAAAAATCAGACACCTCAGGACAGTTCCGATCCTCTCAACCTAATTCTGGCAATCGTTATCCAGTTCCACTCTCACAGCCTCCACCCTTGCCAGTCCAGTCTCCTTCGAAACCACCAAAAAAAACCTCACGGTCTCCAGGACACAAGAGTCGAAGTCGGAGTAGGAGTAGGAGTAGAAAAAGGAGTAGCAGAAGCAGGAGTAGGAGTCGGAGTCATAGTAGATCAAAAAAGAAGTCTAGACGAAAGAGCAGAAGTCCTCGAACTAGAAGACATGGGAGTCCACGACGGGACACAAGTCCACATGGAAGGAGGACCAAAAGTCCTCATGGACGCAAAGACAAAAGTCCGCACGGACAAAGAGAGAAAAGTCCGCACGGACAAAGAGAGAAAAGTCCGCATCATCGGAGGGGGAAAAGTCCGTTCAATAAGAAAAGAGAGCCTACTCCTGATTTATTTACAAGGCGGAGCAAAGAACGGAGTCATGATCTTCAGAAGCCTAAAACTGGGTAACCGTAAACCTAATTGAATAAAACCATCGTTCTGTGTCGTGTCTCTCAAAAGGATTTAATATGGATTTTAATATGACATCTTCTTGATATATTAAGTTAGTCAAATTTACCGCTCAAAGATGTATCATCATTGGGCCAGAGACTTTTATGATTCATTGATTTCCCATTATCATCACTTATTTCACTTGAACATTGTCTTTTGCTTATTGAAATTGGTTTCACTTGGTTTAAAAGTTTTAAAAAAAACGAGTCACTGAAGAGGTACTCACTAGTCTACCTGGAGTTTGTAATAACGTGTAATAATAGAGATAAATGGTGCTAACTTTGCACCTATATTATTTCAACCCATTAGGGACAAGAAAAATTTTCCAATTTCTTTCTTCATCTGGTGCGTAGAAAGGGGGGATGTGTGGCCCAAAACAGGTATTTTTATTCAAAAACATTTTATTGGCGATATATAAATATTGTTTCCAAGATTTTAGGTCTGTAAAAATAGTACACCGATATAAAATAAAAAAACAAGGACAGATTCAGATTGCAGGAGTAGCCTTGTATGGTTAGGGGCTAAAAAGCCTACAGTCAGGGAGGCCGTTTGATCCACATCAGACTCCTGAAATTTAAAGATAATCAGTGCCATTAATGCAAAATTAAATAAGAAAAGGAAAGAAAAACTAAAAAAATATTTTATATTTCGTTGACTTGATTAATAAAACATGTTTCTTCAGTATTAGTCTTCTCCCTTATGTGACACGGTCCGGTCAGCCCATAGATACTTTTCGGCGGCTAGGAGCGCCGACCCCTATTTCATTGAATGATGGGTTATCCTTTAATAATAATAATAAGAAGAATATAGATGCAAAGTTTAAAGTACCATTTATCTTTATTATTACACGAGTATTACAAACTCCAAGAGACTAGTAAGGTCCTTTCTTAGATTTTAAAATATTTTCCATTAGTTTTCCAATTAGAAAGAAAAAAGATTCAGGGTTGCTTAATTTAATTTGATTACATTTAATCCATGATTGAATGGGATAATGTTTTGCCATTTCTATCCACAGTGACATCTTAAGAGTTGCAATTTTGATTTTGTTGTTTCCTTTTTAAGATAAGTGAACAATCCCTTTAACAGTTAAACATGTCCAGGGCTACCCAGTCTAGAGTTTCAAATGAGAAGGAGACCAAGGAGAAGGTCCAGGAGAAGCTGTTCGCCTCCGTGGTTGGGTTTATTGATGAGAAAACAGGGGTTCTCAAAATAACATCTAAGGTGCTATTTTTTATGTGTGTTGGATTAATTATGTTAGCTTTGATGTTGTCTTTATTAATCATTTTTTTTTTTTTTTTTTAAGATTATTTTAGTATTTTCAAATGTCCGCTAAACTATATCATTTTCTATTTCTTAGTTTAAAGTAATTTCACTCTGGGTTTGAGACGTGGGGATTAGGGTTTCCGGGAGATGACAGTCAAAAGGATTTTCTTAATTTTGGCCCTACGATGACCTATGAACATTGAACATTGAACACAACCTTTAATATAGATTAATAGATTGTGTTTTTAGCTTTTATAATTTATTTTAATTAAATTTTACAATATTTTAAAATTTTTATATGATAACAAATAGATTGTGTACTTATTCAAGTATAAATATTTTCTAGGGAAAAAGGGAAAACCAGTTGGCGATTTTTCATAAAGACGTTCTTTGGGTTATGAGTAGGTAAATAAATAGCTATTGAAACGGCTACAAACAAAGATAAGTAAAGATGAGATTTCTTTCTCTTTTTAAGAAAAGTAAATATCGTTTGTGGTTTGTTTAAAAAGTAAGATTGTTTTTAAAAATGTTCGAAATAAAGATAATATGGTGATTGTGACGCGAGCTTTTGTTTTTAATTTGATGGATTTTCAAAACTCGAAATAATTGACATTTTTTGGGGCAAAATTGTTCAATTTCGACCAGCAGTAAACCAACACCTAATTGCTGCATAAAATGTGGGCCCGATTGGTTCAGCCGTTGTAATGGTATATTGGATACAAACCAACATAGAGACAGACAAGCTAAATTCATATAATAGAGTTCCCGCATTTTTAGGATGTTATAAAAACACTATAATTGTAGAGATAGTTTTATCAAAAGACATTCGTTCGTTTTAAAATCACATTATAGATTTTTTTTGAATCAATAATAATCTAGACTTTTCAATAATTTCCTCTTTGATTGAAAATTGTCTTTTTTTTCGCGGATTTTCTGCAGTTGATAAGTTTTGTTTCATTCTGAACGCTTTGAAATTGTCATTCTAAATCAAATAACAAGGAATCATCTAGATTTCAGTTAAAATCGCTTTAATTAGGAATGTGTACACGAACTCGATGTTGCTTGAGAAGTGTGTCTCTCCTTGTAAACTAGAGACTATCCTACCCATGGGAACAGGGGTGGCCCTCACTGCAAACATTATTGATATTCCTGGATCCATATTCATTCTACAGGTAGGCATATGTTTTTATTGGTTACTATTCAGTTATTTTAAACATGAATGCAATTAAAATGGTTTATAATTGCCTGAAAAAAAATGTCAGGCAAATGATATTTTTCTTTTATTTCCTGTTTTCTACGCTCTTCAAACAATCTTTTGTGCGTTAAATTTTAAAACAATCAGTTAACCAGTGAACTGGGCATTTTTACACTGCATAATTGACTAGTTTCATTAGACTTTTCGAAGTCATAACTTGATTCGTAACAGTCGTCTTCCTATTCCTCATTTATGTGGAATTTAATTGGTCCATTTCACTGCTGCCACCTATTGTACTTGATAATCTATTTGAATCTAAGTATGAATGCCAGAGTTACTGTTGAAATCAAAATCATAATATAAGATCCTGAAAAATAAAGTTAAAATGTTAAATACAAGAGGAATATTTTAAGCTATAAGCTAAATGGGTTTATTCTGAGATGTTGGATGGGTCAATCTACTGAACAAGCCAGAGATGATTTCAAGGATGTACGAGTGGAGGAAGACTTAAGCCGCCAAAAATTCCAGAAGAAATTTTGCATCGAAGGATTTTTCGAAATATCTTCTTTATACATAATACTATTAAGGCGAGTAAGGTTTGGCCAGCACTAGGTGCTGCCCCGGATGAGATTGTATCTGAGGGTGAACTAGAGAATCAGCTTAGTATATTTTTTACAACCTTCAAGCTCAGTAACTACGAACCCTTGGTTTTCGATCAAATAGAAACAAACAACCTCGACATCTGGTCCGTCAAGGTAGGGTTTTAAATTTTTTAAAATTTTTTATTTATTTTGACTAATAATAACTCATCTTTAAGAAATTATTATAAATATACATACAGTACGTAAGTTGGGAGTTAGGACCTATTAAGCCGATAAAGACTGCTGAATTATTTTACTAAAGTTTTCTCAATTAAAAGGATGTAATTTCAAGTGACCCTTTTTAAAGTGGCATGTCCAATTCACAACGTTCCCTCAAAAGATTATGATCAAAAGTGATGTCCATGTTTTTCATCTGAAGGGTTAATTTTGACAACTTACCATTTCTTAAAAATTGCGATTTTTTTATCAATCGTGATATTTAAAGTTCGAATGTAAATATTGATTTCATGTAACTTCCAGAGAATAAATTATAATATATTATTAAAAATATAATATATCACTGATTGCATACAAATTTGTCAATAATTCCAAGGTTTGAAGGGTACCACTGTGAATCGGACACCACAGTCTGCAATTGGAGACTTACTTGAAATTACGTATTTTGTCCCGTTAAGAGATTAAAAAGTTATGATAAAGAAAAAAAAGAAATTAAATTGATTTTTTTTGACATTTACCTTTGAATTTGTATGAACCTTGTGCGTGTATCTAGGTGGCTGAGTGTATAAACGAGGACTGGGGAATGATTGAGATCAAATCCTATCCTAAAATACCAGGAAGGAATAGTGTCAAGTAAGAACCATCCATACAACTAGGACAACTTTTAGAATTTAAACTACCTTAAAATGTCTCAACAAATAACAAAAATGTCTAAACATCATTTACTCATTGTTTTGTTTCTGTTTTTGACTAATTACTAAGCTTAGATTACATTCAGCATTTTTTTCTTATACATTGAATATACTCCTGGCCTGACAGATAATCAATCCCAACTTTTTCTATTGCCACCATACCATGCCTCAAATTTTTTGTAATCAAAATTGCCTATGGCGTCATTATTGCTTTTCAAAATGCATCCTTTTTGGGAATATTATGCATCACAAAATAAAAGTTAAAAAATGATGTCTTTTAGTTGTTGTATTGGGAAAGAAACATTTTGAAGGGGGGGGGGGCGGAAGAATTAAAACAATTGGAATTATATACACCCCTGTATACTTGTTTTGGATCACTTTCATTCCCAATAAACTATGTTTATTTTTCAGGATGTTTTGCTTTTTCAACAAGTCTTGTATTTGGTTAAAAAACGGCACAGCGGTGTCACAGGTATCTTATAAAAAAATATTCAACCATTTGAGGCCACGATTTAAATAATTCGGAAAAAGTAGGTCTTTAGGCTTTGTTTTCTTGTTTATAACCAATAAACGTTAAAACGGCTGAACCGATCGAGCGCAATTTTTTTGAGGCAACTCACAATACCCAAGGAAAGGTGTCGGAATTTAAAATTGTTTCGATTTTTCAAAATCAACGAAAAAAGAATGTAAAAGAACAACAATTGGAAATAAAACTCGAATATGGGCGTGAAACAGCCTGGACGCCTAGTATTCAATATTTATCGTAGAAACCCGAAATTGAACCTAAAATAATTTAAATGGTTTTGAGTACGACGTGTTCAATGGATTTAAATATTCTTGCTTCATCTAATACATGTTTAGCTGATTGAAAACCTGATTGTTTTCTCCACTATCACGTCTCAAATTGGGTCGTGTGATTGTTGCTCGGATTTTTATAATTTAATTATTATTATTACTATTTAAGGACAACCCATTATTCAGTGAAATAAAAGAAACATTGAATACTTTTTGTAAACAAAGTTCTGCTCTAAAAAGTCACAATTTACTACACTACACGATTTGATTTATATATTACCAAACTACGATTATGTAATAAAACTGTTTTTGATCATATTTAATTGTAGTGTAATGCTCAGAGGTTGCCACTAAGTCACTTGGTTGAAATAAATCAGCCGGTAAATGTTGTTGCTAGAAGTGTTATAAATTCAAAGGGTGAGACTTATTTTTTCATTTTATCAAGAACACATTATTTTATGAATATCAATTTCTTAATATAATAATAATACTAGAAACCATTATCATTATCATCATGATCTTGATAGTCAATATTATTTTTGTTATCCGTTTCATTATTATGACCATTATCATCATTATTTATAAAAGCTTTTAGCTCATTTATGTTCGTTTTAGCGGGCAACGACTAAACCAAAATGGCTGAATTTTTTTTAGGAATCGTCCATTGTATGCAGGGGGTGACAAAGGCTATCATTAAGTTGAATTTTTTTTTAAATTCTACTTAAACTAAAAAATCATAATTTGATACCGAGCGCGGGTAAATGGCGGGAGAAACTATGATTATAAATAACAATAAAAACTTGGGCAATGCCGGGCACTCAAGCTTGTCATTAATAATTACAATCATAATCATTTATTATGATATATTATTATTATGATCATTATAATCATTTTAGTAATTGTAATCATTGTAATCAATATAATCATCTTCATTATTGTCATCAATTTCTACAACATAATTTAACATTGTCATCGATCTTGTAACTGGTGCAGGGTATAGTATGCTGGTGCAAGGTCAGGAACAGGTTCACCTGCAAGCTCTAGCTGTATCCCTGGATCCTAGTTGTATTCCTGCTGGTGCTCCTCGAGGTGTTCTTCTACCTGATGGTCCAGGCACCTTTGGTATAGATATTGAGCAGCATACTTCATATTTATTTGATAAAACTCTCATGGAGAAAATCAATCTAGAGCTCTTTAAATTTATGAAGGTAAGTTAAACCTTTNAATGCGGGGGGGGCCTAAGCACAGTTACCTTGATCTCTTTAATATTCAATTGTTTGCTCTGTTTCCAAACTTCAATTTTTCGTCCATAATTTAATTCATTACATCTGTTCATAAACTCTTGCGCTTTTATCATTGGCCAATTAATGTCAATGTCTTCGGTTCCTTTTTTGGGGACTTTCTTCAAAACCATGATCGAGTAAAATATTTTTTACGTCTCTATTTTGCATTAGGAGTCGAGGAAGACAATGGCGAATATTGACTTCAATTGTGTTCCTAAAGCTAAACCAACTGAGATCAAAACTTCTTCAAAGATTACTCATGTCAGGTTGGATTTTTATGATTGTTTTTGATTTACAATGAATTAACTTTAAGGTTGCTTGATCCCTAAACCGGCTAGTTATTTGATTGATGTAGTGATTGATTCATTGATTTACTCATCCTTTCATTGATTCATTCAATTATTCAATGACTCAATGATTCAATGATTCAATGATTCAATGATTCATTCATTCATTTATATAGTGATTCAATTATTGACTCATCTATTCATTAATTGATCAGTTGATTCATTGATTAATTTCAATATTGATTCAATTATTCCTTTATATATAAATTTAATGATTCATTGGATTCATCCTTTCATTCATTCTGAATTGATAAATTTTATTATTGATCAATCTTTTATTTAATAAATTGATTGTTTGATTGATCTGTTTATCTAGTCGGTTAGTGTCCAGTGTTGCAAGGATTAAGAAGCAGATAACCCCTGAGTTCGGTGTGTTAGAGAACTTTAATAAGACCTGGTCAGCTGTTTTCAGAACTGCGGACTGTGTTCTTGATCTTGACAAAACCTACGCAGAAGAATTCAAGGAGGGTACCAAGGTATGATAATACTACTAATAATATATATTTCAAACTAGTTCAGAGGTTTCCCTTCTTAACTTTATTTTAATTTCCAGGTGTTAATGAATGCCTGCCTTGTAAAGGAGAAGATGAGAGCTCAATATATGGCTACTTCAGTAAGTTTAATAATTAAATATTATAAAACAAACATACATATGTAGTGTAAACATATTATGTAACTTAATTAAACATTAAACATAAATACACAGGAGTAAAATACTAAAAAATTAAGCATTGTCTATGAGTTGGGAGAAAATAAATGATTGTCCACTCTTCTTGATACATTTTCATAAATTCAGTTATGTTCCGTATTTTCTGCGAACAAAAAACAAGCGGCGGGGGGGGAGGGGTAATTATTTTTAAAGAAAATGTATACCTCTGCTTTCTGTAAAGGTATGGATCATTGGTACACCCCAGAGTATGGCAATGCTGCACAAGGATCTGTCAGCTGACCAGCTTCATGTTTACAATCAGGTAACTGTTATTAAGGTCAAATGGAAACTTTGTACTTTTTAAGCCGTTCAACCATGATTTCTGACGAGTAGATAATTCATTGGAAAAATAAAATGTAGAGTCCAACAATGGGGAGGGAGGGAATTATTCTTTTGTTGGGTTGGGGGGGGGGGGGGTTGCCCCCATTCTGATACTTCTTACTCACAAGGTTATCTTACAAAAAATATATCCTTATATTTAAAATAAATTAAGGTGAATAATATTCTGGATGGGAGGGATCCAAATATTCAGCAGGAGTACTTTGATGCAGAGCAGGGAGAAGTTTCTGATCATCTTGATTCTAACTTTGGGATCATCAACTTCAGAGCAGAGAAAGCTATGTTTAATCTTTCAGGTAGAATCCTTCAATCAATTAATCAATCATTTAATCTTGGTAATCAATCAATCAAGAATCGTCTTCTACTTTTCCTCAAATTTTAAATTATTCAAGTATATGTTGTACAATATACGTTGTACATTGTACAACATTTATGTATTTTACACATAAACTGTACGCTGCGTAGTGCTCTAAAGACAACAAAAATACCTAGTTAATTTCATTTTAAGGATAGTTGATGAAATTTATATTGACTCTTTATTTAAAAGTGGCATTAGAGTTGAATGGGTTTTTAAGATTGCAATTTTACAGCATTATAAAGATTCTTTGTTCATAACGACTGAATATTTAATGCCATGTTTTTTAATAACCTCACTTAAGATTATGGTTACAATACCTTTAGTGTTTCGGATCCGGATCCGGTCGGATCCGTATCATTTGGTCGGATCCGGATCCGGATCTGGATCCGTATCAGAAAACGTTGATATGGATCCGGGTAGCGCCAAAAATTAACCAAAACCATGGAATAAATAAATCAAAATGGTTCGTAAATGTATTATTTACATGACGAAAATTTTTCAAAATTATCTTTAATAATTTAATGTTTACATTTATATAATAGTAATGACGACATTTTTAACTTTAGGATTACTATAGTTTATAAATTATAACCTTGCATAACATTTAATAGGGAAAATCCGATTACAGAATCAAAAGTTACCTCGGATCCGGATCCGAAACACTGAATACCTTTAAAACCAGGAATGGGGAGGACTTGAAACTTCAATCCACTACTGGAGTCTTAGGCAACCCCTGCAACTTATGATTTGATTTGATTTGGTTTAAGTTGGCAAATTGTTTGAACATTTTAGAGGTTTGGTTATCCCATGAGAGTACAGCGGCTAACCGTGGATTAGAGCTAGCTAATGTTCTACCAAGAGGAACTAAGGTTAGTTGACAATGTCTGGCTTGTCGCTTTGTTCCAATAAAAGAGGGGGGGGGGGAGAAAGAGGGTTTCTAAACATTCAGCTGCATGTAACTGTATATTTGAAATTAATCAATTAATCGAGACCTGTAGAATTTAGTGTTGTTTTATATTTGCACATTATGTCCATTGTCCAGTGTTAATAACTCGCGCCAATCCTGCATCTACATCTACCTTATCTATGGGGGGGGATATTTGACAATGTTCTGATAAGAATGATATACCTTGTAGTTAAAAAATATGCGTGGTTTGTATAAATACTGAATATAAAAAGTTTTTATGAATTATTTGTTTATTTGATCATTTGACGATTTCTAGGTTTTTCTTCACTGTTTGATGTTGAACAGTACAACGGAGGTCAAGTATTTGGCCACGGCAGTTTGGAAAGTTCATCCTTCACCCTTTAACAGTGCTAATATGCCTCAACCAATAAGGTATCAGATTAAGGCCTTATTTGGTAAAACAAATCAAGAACTTTTTAAACAAAATTTGTTTTAACTTTCAAATATTCACAAAGGGGTGTATATTGTCCAGAATAATATAGCATATATAACTTCTTGGAAGTAAAAATGATTTTCAAAAGGGAGGGAGGGGGTATGAATTTTCGAGAAAATATTCAACTCACCATTCATAAAATAAAATCACTAACACAATTCATCTTTTTTTATCTCGTGTATTATTTGGGAATGAAAACAGAAGACACTCTTGATCACACTTAATATCAATGACATATTCCATTCTAGGATTAGTAGTCTACCAAAGGAAAAGATTGAAGAATTTAGAACAAGGCTTGATCAATTCCAGATCCATGGTATCCCAGTACCAGATAACCCCACTCTTAACACACAACCTTCCGACCCGGAGATTTTTATTCCTGATCTCTCCCGTCCTCCTCCTGTACCGCTCTTCGGGGCTCCCATACCTCAAGCTCAGCATCAGGTATTTAGACAGGGATATCAAGTACTTCTTTAGGGATATCAAGTACTTCGTCAGAGATGTCTTGTCTTTAGCAACGGAATCAGATATTATGATTGGGATATAAAGTACTTTGTCAGGGATATCAAGTTCTTCGTCAGGGATATCTGGTCCTAAGCAAGGGAGATCAGATACTACGATAGGGATATAAAGTACTTAGTCAGGGATATCAAGTACTTCGTCAGGGATATCAAGTAATTTTTCAGAGAAATTTGGTCTTATGCTACGGATATCAGGTATTACGATAAGGATATAAGTATTATAAGTACTTAGACACTAGACAGGGATATAAAGTAATTCGTCAGGTATATTATGTAATTTGTTAGGTATGTCAGGTACTTTGTCAGGAATATCAAGTAATTTTTCGGAAATATCAGGTATTTAGTCATAAATATCAGGTGATTTGTCAGGTATATCATATACTTTGTCAGGAATATCAAGTTATTTGTCAGGATTATAAGGTACTTGCTCATGAATTTCAAGTGATTTGTCATGAACATCAGGTAATTTGTCAGAAGTATCAGGTAATTTTTTCTGAAAATCAGGTAATTTATAAGGAACATCAGTTACTTTGTCAGGAATAACAAGTAATTTGTCAGGAATATCAGGTACTTTGTCAGGAATATCGGGCAATTTGTCAGGAATAACAGATAATTTGTCAGATATCAGGTAATTTATCAGGAATGTCAGGTACTTGGCCATGGATATCATGTACTAAGCTAGGGATATCAGGTACTAAGACAGGAATATCAGATACTTAGTCATGAATATCAGGTACTTAGTCATGGATAGAATGTACTTAGCCATGGATATAATGTACTTAGCCATGGATATAACGTACTTAGCCATGGATATAATGTACCTAGTCATGAATAGCAGGTAATAAAACATAAATATCAGGTACTTAGTCATGAATATAAGGTAGTAAGCCAGGGATATAATGTACTTAGCCATGGATATAATGTACCTAGTAATGAATAACAGGTAATAAAACATAAATATCAGGTACTTAGTCATGAATATATTGTAGTAAGCCAGGGATAAGGTACTAAGCCAGGGATATGAGGTACTTAGACATGGATATCACTATCAGGTACTACGCCAGGGATATCATATTCTAAGTCAATTAATGATTTAAAGAGAAAAGAAGACAGTTGCAGATTTGTTCTCTGAACTGGCAGATTTTTCTCCCAAATTGGCAGATTTTTGCAAAAGGCTGTTTTTCCAATTCTGAAAGTCAGTCAGTTGAGTCAGTTAAAGTAAACTGACTGAAATTTTCCCTGGAAGTAACCCTAAATTATGTTAAAAATTTCCTTAAATTTAGATGATTCCAGTTGCGCCGATGGAGTTGACCCATGGTGTAGTCAAGTATGGGTTGCAGAGGAAAGGAGATAGAGTTTTAACTGGAGGCCTGATCGAGTTCTTCCCTCCAGGTCAATCAGTTTTCATCTTTCTTCCATTTACTCAACTGTCTCTATATATATATATGTTGTAGAAGCCTGGCTTTTAGTTATAAGAAAATATGATTTTGTCCTACATGTCTAAATTATAATTGAGTTTGCATAAAATGCGCAAACAGTTTCACTGATATTTCGCAAACTTTTTGAATCTCGGATTTTACACTAGTCATTCTTAGTATGTTAAACGAGTAACATATGAATAAATAAACTTGTGAAAATATGTTATAATTCTGAGTTATTGAGACTTCTATAATGTCTATAATTTAGGACCTCCTGGAGTTCGGAAACCCAGTTTAGCGATATTCTCAGTGAGATCCTTATTGAACCATGGGGGTTCAAACTTATGTGTCCCGGATACTAGGGTTACGTTCCTGCCCATACCCAGATCTGGAGGGGTAAGATTTGAATAAATGTAATATATGAAACATAAGACCGAGAAAAAGATTATTTCAAATTGGCCAAATTGCAATGTCGATTTTAGTTTTGAGATTCATGTACTTAAAACATTACTGCGTTTGTGTACGCATTAATTTAGTTATTTCCTGATTTTTATTTTACCTGTAAAGTTAATTTGAATTACAATGAAGATTATGATGATTATTTTATAAATGATTATAAGAATGTTATAAGACTGTGGTGATAATGATGATAACGATACTTTCCCCTATGATGTGTTGCAAAAAATAGTGTTTTTTTTTACTTTTACTAGACTGTTAAGTTGTCCCCCCGCCTATTACAATGATTATGACTACAAAATAATGTTAATAACGAAATAAATACCAATGAAAATAGTCCTAATGGTAATGCTTGCAGGTAGAGAGTGCTGTGACCCATATTGGTAATCTGGTGCACCTGACTGGCTACATGCTGCCCCCTGGGGTCAATACTAAAATGGAGGCAGATGGAAAGGAGATATTGGGACAGGTAGGCAACAATCACTCAAATAAATGATTAGATTCCCGCAGAAAACTCTCCGAAACGTTTTTCTTTATTTTGTGCGTATATTTTAGTATTTTGCCCCCTGGGTCCGTACATTTTTGCTGATTCGTGGATTCAGATTTAAAAACTCTGGATCTAGATCCTTTCAACAAATGTAAGTGATTGTAATCGTTATTTCAAGTGACTTTCCAGTTAAAAGAGGAGCATTCCCTATTCACACCTTAAACCTTTGACTGATAAGGGGACTGGACAATGGACATATCTAAATAAATCGTTTGAGACTCTTTTAATTTCCAAGAAATAGTAATAGATACGTTCTAAAAGTGGCAGAAAACAGATATACTTTTGAATGTTTGAAAACCACTTTTAATGTAAACCAGTCGATACTTAGAGTTGCGTAAGTAACAGATCGCGTTGAAGTTTCTTTGTACACAACATACAGGCCGCGATTTTAAGGAATTCAAGCTGGAATAAACAGAAAGATCTTTACACTGGATAAATATTCAAAAATTTCTAGAGTGAGTACCTTTGTAAATCTGGCATTGCCCTTTTTGCATGGAATGGCACATGAAATTACTCTTACAGTTTCTTTAAGGAAAAATTGTGCAATTTGTTTGTTTTCAGATGAGGCACAGAGATCTGTTGAGCCTGTTCAACACTGATAAAAAGATCCTATTGTATGGAAGCTCAGATCATTCCTTTGAACAACTTTACGGTAATAATTTAATTATTTCAATTAATGCTCAGAAACTGAAAATATATTCAATAAAATTTTGGGGATAATCGATCGTTCTTCATGAAATTTCAAGTAAATCGAAAATGGTAAAAAGAAAAGCAAGATTTAGTTCCGTTTATTATCAATGTTTAACAATCATTTTTCCTCGCCAAAGCTATGAAGAGGGTTGGACAATTATTTAAGGCATATCTTACTCATGAAGTTAAGACTACAGGGGTTTATATTTCCTGAAAAATTATCCTCCACTTTTTTGAAAATAGTTTTTTTCTCAAAGTTGGTTTTTTTGGTACACCCCTAGGATTTTTAAGATTAGACTTGTTTAGATACTAGTGCTCTAATGTCGGCTGTACCACCTAGTAGTCACAGATCGGTGAGAACTATTACTGACTGTGTTGGTATCTGTGCTGGAGTGTTCAATGAAAACTTTGGTATGATTCAGTTCAGGCTTAGTGATCAAGAGTTCAGGTATAAATAGTTAAATATTAAACATTATTTTCTATATATATATATGTTGTAGAAGCCTGGCGTTTAGTTATAAGAAAATATGATTTTGTCCTACATGTCTAAATTATAATTGAGTTTGCATAAAATGCGCAAACAGTTTCACTGATATTTTCCAAACTTTTTGAATCTCGGATTTTACACTAGTCATTCTTAGTATGTTAAACGAGTAACATATGAATAAATAAACTTGTGAAAATATGTTATAATTACTAGATCTACAATCTAAAGAAAGGGATTGTGTAAATTTAGAAATTTAAACCCCTTCTTATTATTGACTTAGTAGGGTATAACTGTCCCGATTCCCCCAGCCGCCTAATGTTGAATACTGAATATTTTTTGCTCCCTTTTCAAACCATGAGATCTTCTATCCCTTGATTTTCCTGTTTTGTCTTATTTTTCTTTTTGTACTCAATTTTTTATTCTATAATGTCCCTTAGGATAACTTAGAAACATATTTGTTGAATATATTTTGAAAGGTAATATTTTATTTTTCATATTTATCTCTTAGAGTGATTTAGAATAGAATATCTTGCAAAATAGTTAATAACTTTAAGAATAAACAAAACTGGTAAGAAGTTTAATAGGTAGGTTATCGCCAAGAAATATAAAGACCAAGGAACCACCATATCTGATGCATCAAATTTGTGTACTGCAGTGGGAGGAGATAAAAACAAAGAATTCAGGGGCAAAACATCTATTATGTGCGAGGGAGGATAATAATATTTATAACGTTTCACAATATGAATATAATCTTTGCTATCGTACACATGAATAAAGATTATAAAACGCAAGAATATTTTTTACTTGCGAGTATATGCTTTAAAGGCAGGAGAGGGAAACGATAATTACCAAGATTATTTTCAAATTGTGAAACGTTATATCATATGGTAAAATTCGGATGTTTTAATAAAAGCAAAAACAAGTCCTCATTCCATGGGAACCAATGCAAAAAGGGACAGTAAACAGATGTATGCATGATTCACAACAGTACCTTAAAAACTTTTTCGGGAAATGCGCATTGAATATTAGTCATTTATAAATAAAACTTTCTAACATAAAATTCGAGAAAAAAATTAAATTAAAGTTATCCATATTTTAATACATTTATTTATTGGCATTTTATACATTCTATTTTTTAAAAGCAGGTCGTCAAGCTTTTTAATTTTATCACACCATAGTTCTAAAACATAAACTGAACAGTTTTGTTTCAATGTTCTATCATTCTTTTTTACTATTTTCCTTCAAGCTAACGTTTTTCAGTTTACTGAAAAATCTTACATTTACAAAAGGTTGTACAACCTCCCGAGGCCATCTTTTGTTTATTGCAGTAATAGATGAAATTGTTTTTTTTTGATAAGATCATGTCCTCTATGTCCAGAGACTCTCCATGTATTTTTTGAAATATTTTCTCATATTATTCAACTTCCTCCAATAGATCTTTGGATGGATAAATCAGGGATCCTCTGGATTTTAAGTCTTTTCAATCACAGTTTGTTTTCTCCTCGCCGACTCTGACAAGGCTGGGAACTGATGTATGGAGTTTTTTGGCAATAAACTTACATACATACATATGTTAGTGCCTGTGTTGAGGACTTTTTTTTGCGCTGAATTGTCCGCACTCATAGGTTCCTGAAAACAGTCAACGTTAGCCGTTTTCAAGGAATAAGATTCAGAATAAGTTGCATTTTATGTTTGATATTTTTTAAGGATTAGAAGTAATGATTATGAAATTATGATTTCGAAAAAATCCATGACGATAGACATAAAAATTTTCATTTTTGAAATTGAAAAAACCTCGTTTTCTTCTGGTTCTTCTTCTTCTCTTATTTCAATCTGGTTCTAGAATAAAGAAACTATTGAATTAAAGTAAATTAGATGTTGTATGTAAGAATTTACATCTTGAAAAAAAATAATTAGTATTCTTGGAACCTGATCGTTAAAGTCTGGAATTGACGAGCGGAGAGAAGCTGCCAGATTTGATGAGATGAGTTGTCAGGTTCTTTTTCACTGTCTTGGAGTATATTCTTGGGATAATTGATAATGTTCTCAATCAACGGAAGAATACTTTAACTCCCATTTATTCACAGTAGTGCTAAAAAAATAAAAGTTAAATTTTGATGAAAATTTGATAAAACATGTAACATACTTTGACCCACTTACCTAGGAGAATGTAGGGTTGGAATTGAATTGGCTTAATCCTCGTTTCCCAAGTGTTTAAATAATCTTCAGGTTTGAAGTGTTGACTACTTAATCTTCCCTCCTAAAAATTGATTCCATCAATGAACTCTTCTTTTTGGTTTAGAACAAATTCTTTCCACTTCTCCAACCAATTAGATGCTCTGGGAAACCTATGGAATGACAATCCTGGGACAACGTAGCAGCTTTTTATCGATCACTGATGCTTAACTAGAAATAGTTAACATTTTACATTGCTGGAATTAAGTTTAGCATAAAAAATATTGGGAGGAATAAAAACAATCTGAAGAGGAACAATTTAAATATTGTGAGGAAGGATTTAAAGGTTAGAAAGAAGGATTTAAATCTTGGAAGGACGGATATAAACATTGGGAGGAAGGATTTAAATTTCGGGAGGAGTGATTTTAGTTTTGGGAGGATAGATTTAAATGGTGTAGTGGGAGAAAGGGTTTAAATATTGGGCGGGAGGATTACAAACGTTAGGAGGAAGATTCAAATGTTGGGAGGAAGGATGTAAACCTTTGGAGGAAGGATTTAAACCTTGGAAGGAAGGACATAAACCTTGGGAGGAAGGAGTTAAAGCTTGGTAAGAAGGATTAAACTTTGGGAGGAAGGATTAAAACCTTGGGAGGAAGGATGTAAAGCTTGTGGGAAAAATATTTAAACCTTGGGAGGAAGAATACAAACAAAGGGAGGAAGTGTTTAAACCTCGGGAGGAAGGATTAAAACCTTGGGATGAATGATGTAAACCTTGGTAGGAAGTATGTAAACCTTGGGAGGAAATATGTAAATCTTGGGAGGAAGTATGTGAACCTTGGGGAGGAAGGGTTTAAACCTTGGGAGGAAGGATTTAAATCTTGGGAGGGAAGGGTTTAAACCTTGTGAGGAAGAATGTAAACCTTGGGAGGAAGGGTCTAAACCTTGGGAGGAAGGATGTAAAACCTTGGGAGGAAGGATGTAAAACCTTGGGAGGAATGATGTAAACCTTGGAAGGAAGGATGTAAACCTTGGGAGGAAGGATGTAAACCTTGGGAGGAAGGGTTTAAACCTTGGGAGGAAGGGTTAAACCTTGGGAGGAAGGGTTAAACCTTGGGAGGAAGAATGTAAACTTTAGAGGAAGGATGTAAACCTTAGGAGGAAGGATGTAAACCTTGAGAGGAAGGATGTTAACCTTAGGAGGAAGGATTCAAATGTTGGGAAAAAGGATTACAATCTTGAAGGAAGGGTTAAATGTTATGGGGAAAAATTTAAACATTGGGAGGAAGGATTTAAACATTAGGAGGAAGGGTTGAAACATAAGGAAGAAAGACTATACCTAAGGAGAAAGGTTTTAAATCTTAAAAGAAAGTTACACCTTGGAAACAAGAATAAGTGAGAATCTTTTTACCTTGCTTCTCCTTTATAGTTGTACGAGTTGCACAAATCTCACTGAGCATTAATAAATTTTCCATATCGATCTGAAAGCCAAAATTATATTCTAAAAATTAAGATGTATCCACAGTAACTTGATTTATTTAATACTTTGTTTTGTTGGACTATAAAATCACTCTGTTTATCAGAGTTGGATCCGTTCCCTTCAATTGATATGGGGGCACTGGGTTTGTTTACATTCTACCCAGAGTGTACAGTACACAATATGCGTATATCTGAGTTGGGTGTTCCTGTATATAGTTCCTTGGTTATCGCTAACTGAAACAGATAAGAAAGGAACAAAAAATTTAAACTGTAATGGCCTTAATATAGAATTTTTCAACTTTGGTTTATAAAAATTTCCCTGGTTTAAATGACAAACTCACAAAATTCAAACATATTTTTTATAGGTATTGCCTGTTTGACACCTATGACTTGTTCGTTGAAGGAGGTGCCAGGGCATCTGAGAATGGATTGGGTATTTCAAAAATTACCAAACTGGGGGATAAGGTAAGCCAAAATATATAATAATTTCTATATTTTAGGCATGATGATCCAGAATACCAATTTATCACAAAAGAATTGTTCGTTTATTGTTTATGTTTTTACTTTTATGTTAATATTTTATTAATGATATATTTACATTTTTTTCCAGACTTAAAATCAGAATTATATTTATTGAAATTGTATCTCGACTCAATGCCACGTTTGAAATCTTTGTTAAGATTTTGTTTGAAATCTTTTTTAAAGATTTTTGAACCAAGAGTTAGTTGATTATTTAAATTTTATAGATCCTTTCATTGACTAATTAAAAAGCTAGGGGGGTTAATATTTTTACAAAAAATAATCCCCCGCCTTCACAAGTCATACAAATCTATTATGTTACTTTATTCAGGGGCAAGTAATTTTTAATTTATTGGAAATAAAAAATTGAAGTACTGGTTTTTTGGGGAAAGCAGGTAATATGAATGGGTAATTTCCTGTGGAATTACTTTATTCAGGGATTTGGAATTTATTTTTTTGAAATTAATAGTTTTTTTTGAGAAAGCAGGTAATATAAATGGGTAACTTCCTGTGGAAATACTTTCTACATTAAAGATATCTAACAAATATGTTTTTACACATTCAGGTGGCTACAGCTCTTTGTCCATTAGCCTGTCCTTATGAAGCCTTCCCAAAGAGGGAGGAGGGGGGGGGTGGTTGTTGCTAAACTGGTCACAGTGCTCAAATCAAAAATATTTTTTATTAAAGAAATATGATCTTAGTAGTTTAAATTGAGTCAACATTCAAGGAGGCTCCATAGTGTCTGCAGAGCCTTACAAGAACTCAGCAAAATAGTTGCAAAGCTCTCATGGCACATTTTTTTCTCGCTTATTTTCTGCTAATTTAAAAGGGGGATTGGGTAATTCTTTCGAGTATAAACCCCCTTGATAAATTATTGATATTTAATAAATTTCTACAACTCTTAATGGTTTTTGTTGTTGTTTTGTCAATAGTTATTTTCTAAATGGGTTTGTAGATATCATAAAAGTAAATTAAAAATATTGTAATAAATATTGTTGCTTCTTTACAGTTTTAGTCCAATATTTGATAACAGTGACTAAGCACTGTTCAGTAAAAAAAAAAGTAAAAAAAACTTCCCATCCCTTGTAAAAATGTTGCTAATTTTTGTTCCGAATAACTATTCTAGTAGGATATAATAATTTTTAATCAAACTAACTTTAAAGGAGTTTTTAATCCATGGAAGCTATTTTATGAAGAAGTACTTCCTTTATGAATTTATTTTTCAGGTGAAATCTTTTTTTTATTTTAACACATGGTAGCACAAAAATAAGCTACTGTCTCTTTAACATTTATTTAACAAAAAATATTGTTTAGTTTATGTGAACAATTCTTTCAATAGACTAATCCATTTCAGTTGTGAAATTAAAGTATTATCCAACTTAGATTTGTGTGACTCATTTCAAAAAGCAAATAAAAAAAAGGTTCCATGTATTTAAGTTGGCTTGGTTACCCCTCTAATTGAACTTTAAATAAAAACTTGATTTTCACTGCAACTCTGGATGGTGAAATTTAACTTTGTGAAATCATTAAACATCTTGGTTCTAGTACACTTTTTCTCAAACCTTGCCTTAAACTTCTTTTCCCTGCTTTTAGATTTGTCCCTAACTCAGTTATTTACATATTTCAAGAGCCATCTCACACATTTCTGTCCATTGTCATGTACTTAGGCCCAGTGATATCAATAGAAGTAACACAATCTTGACACATTTCTTAAAGATAATCTATTCCTATGCAATGGTGCATGAAGAGTTCAGCATGTTTTAAGTCAAATTTCAAACATTCATGTGAGGTAAGCTTTCTATTTCTTTTTTATTCATCCTAATACCTGAATATCTTTTCCTTCTCCTCTCCCCAAATTTTTGATCTTTAATTCAGGAAAAAATTATGGTTTTAATAATTGTCATTAAATATATTATTATATTATAAAGATTTATTTACACTAAGATATGCATATAATATATTAGTGTTATTGTTCAGACTATGTTAAAACAAAATTTTAATTTATGGTTTTTTCTTTAATTTGGAAAATTTAAGTTAAGTGGGGCTTTAACATATTTTATTGTTTTCTAACTAGATCTTTTCTCAGATCAGATAGATTTACAAAACAATCCTGTGAACATAATTTAAAAAGAAATCTAACCTAGATCTTAGAACTTGCTTCAACAGTCTAAAAAAATACATGTAAACCTTGTGAAATAATTTCAATTAAGTATGCATATGGGATTTCTAATGGCATTATTCCACGCTGTGGACAATTTTGAATTTAATGAGGAAATCCCAAAGACTATATCCATCCATAAAATCTACAAGAACTAATTATGTAATTATAATTTTTAAACAAGTATCTGGATTGTAAAAATAAAATTCTAGGTTAAAGGAATGAACAGCTGTTAAAAAGACTGAATCTTGTCTGTAAGCAACACAAATAGTACAGATGAATTTTAACATGTTAATAATTTCTAATGTGTTAACCCAAATACCCCCCCCCCCCCCCCCCTCTATTTCTCCAAAATTTCTTATTTTTCCTTATGCTCATTTCTATACCCCTGTAGGACTTTTTAACAATTTATTTTTAAGTTAAAAAGTATTTAACAAAATTTAAAAAAGAGAAGTGAATTTTTTTTCTCTGACTGTTTTATCTTCTTTTTTATCTGATCATACATTTGTTTTCTGTTCCTCTTTTGTAGATCTGCCCATTCTAATCCCTTGTAGACTAAGGAGGTATGCATCTTGACACATATTTCTGCTTTTGTCTCTCCCTAATATTCTGCATGTTTCCCAGAGCCACAGCTCTCTTTTTGACAATTGTCTTTTTCAAACTATTCTTTAATTTGATATCTTGGCACTAGATATATCATATTATGCATAATAGAAAGTTACTGTTTGTGAGTAGATATCTGATGTATTTGCCGTTTTCAGTGTTTTTTTCTGATCCAGGAATGTCTGACTAAACAACTGTTGTAGGTTAGCTTCAATTTCTTCAATATTCTTACAGGCTAAATAGTTAAAAGTCACTGCACAAAGCCAGGTTTGAAAATTATTGTCAGAATTCTGCCTAAATAATGACAAATGGGATAAGAAAGGTTAGGCTAGGAGTGGATACTTTTGATAAATGAATTCTTAATTCTTGTAAGTTCATCTCAGACACTGCTTCAAATACACAACCTTGTCTACAGCAATATTTTCCTTGCAGCTGGCAGAGTATACACCTGTATCATAGTGCATGGTGCACAACCTATCAGGATTCTACTTTATATGTTTCCATTTAGATCGAGAGAAAGAGAAACCCCTCCTGTCTTCACTATTATTTTCTTTTGTTCCAAGTAGGTTGTACTGTCATGTTATTCCACACAGGGTTTTGTTCAGCCACAAGAAACTGGAGAGAGTTGTATAAGAACCTGTCTGTTTTGAAATCTCTTGATGTTCACACATAGAACCAGATTCAATTGAAAGAATTAGCGTCTTTTATGAGTTTGAATACTTAATAACAGCTAACCAGGCTTGTTATTAAGGATTGTATTTAAAACTGCAAGTAGCTAAAATCTGGATCCAGCTAGGTAAAAACCTCCATTCTCCAGGTTAATACAGCATTAATAGATTAATGCAGGCCTTCAATGTTCCTTGAAGTTCCATTTATTTTTTTTCCATTTGTGTGCAGGGGTGTATACGGGGGGGGGATATAAAAGTAAAGGACTAATTATGAAAAAACAGGGTAACTTGAGGGGGGAGGGGTTCCCTAATATTAATCAGGTAGATAATTGCTTTTTCATATTTCAGAATGTTCTGTCATGCTTTGTAGGTGCCCTGATGCTTCACTGGTTTGAAGAACATTAGTTAATTATTATTTGAAAAGTTTGTTTCAAATTTGTTCATGTTAATGATATCTAATTTTTGATCATTTAATATAAATTTTTCAAAATATTATGCCCTTCCTCCAAAGAGAATTACCTTAGAGAAAAATAGCAATCAAATGTAAAACTAGACCAGGCAAAAGTAATCATTTTACACCTGATTTGCAGTTTTTTTTAGCAAATTTTTTTAGAAGTTGATGTTTTTTATCTCTTAACTGACATTGTCTTTTTCCATTTTGCAGTAGTTTTTTTTTTCATCTGCACTAATTTACAATGATATTATTTTTCTGCTTTTAACATTTTTTATTCCTTTTCTTCATAGAATAAACTTATGTATGTTAAAAATTTAATAAAACTTAACAGACTCGCATTTTATTTTGTGACAAGTTAGCACTTAGGTTATTTTCACTCCAATAAAATTGTTGTTTTGAGCTAAAAAATACAATAAAATTGTAGTTAGTCATCTAAAGTTATATTGTTGTATTCATTGGTAACTGTTTTCATTGTTTTGAAGTCAAATGAAAATGCATTTTTAGTTAAAGTTATTTTTAGGTTGGATTTCATGCGGTTGAGATTGATGCAACACTGTCAATGTCATGGTTGGCTACTGGAGTCTGGCTTGGTTTACCATTACCACCACCAACAGTTCATCCTGATACAATCACTGAAAATAAAATTCAAGTTTTTAGGAAAGATAATCCTTTCTGGTCACCAATTCAAAAGTGTTTTACTTATATTTTTTGACATTTATTTTTTAATTGTAAATAAAAACAAAATTTTGAAAAAGAGTAGTGAATTTGTTCTTAGGATGATGAATTGACATAGCTCATCACACATCTGTATTGTGTTCCTCTTATGTAGATCCAAGAATTCTTATTCCTTTAAGCCAAAGAAAATATGCAATTTGGCACATATTCCTACTTTTGTTTAACCCTTAAAATTACTCATATTGCTTAGGTCTGCTAGTTTATACTTTTATAAATAGATGTTTTATTATCAATCCTTGTTTTAAAATCATATCAATTAATATTTTTACCATTTGATTGGATTATCTTGGATTTAGACAAGTTAATTCATCTTGCTCCAACATAATTGCTAGTATCAAACATAAAATGGTGACTGGGGCCAATGAAGCTTGGAAAACCAAAAAGATGTTCTCATGCCCTGTTGCAAGCATGCGTCTTGTTGAAGTGAGTGCAGTGAAGAAATTCAATCTTCCAGCTGCTCAGGAATTGCCATCCTTAGATATTCAATCTTCTCACATGCAAACTGCTGCAATCCCACCAGTGTTTATGAATCATCCAGGAGGGTTAGGTCCTCCAAGAGCCTTTGGTTCAAACATGAGAGGTGGAGTATCTGGATTTAATTCCAATAGGCCATGTCCTAGGCCTCAAGTTCCCAAATCAGATGAAATCTATGATCCAATTGACAGCTACACACAATTTTTTAAAGAAAAATACAAAGATGTAGATGTAGAGACGAGCAGTTCAGCAGACAAGAATAGCTCAGCAAGGGATGATAAGGTATGCTTCTTAAAAACTAGGCAAAGTTTTATCAACATTAGCTTATTTCTTTTTACAGGTTGACTCTGTTGCTATGAGCAGAAAAGAAGAATTGGACAAAATGAAATCTGAGAAGTTTTACAAAGAGTACAAAACTTTACAAGCCAAGTTTTCAAACAAAGAGTTATTAGAAGAGCCCAATCCAACAACTGAGATGTCGGATGGGTCATGGGAGGACCTTCTTAGAAAATGGAAACTTCAGACTGTTGTATGGGTCAAGGAGGCCAGCCAACTGGAACAAACTGGGAGTACAGAAGATTCTTTTCTTCCTATCTCATTGGCAGACTCCTCCACTGTTGCTGAAATTGTTGAAAAGATAGGACACTTTTTTGTTGTAAAGATTGTTGACAAGAATATTCATGCATTATTACACAAGGACAGGTAATGAGTTCATAAATTAATTTTTATACTTATTATTTAAAAAATCATTCAAAGTTGAAATTCATTATTGGCAGACAATCTTTCAAAATAAATTTTGACATTTAACCATACCCTGAAAGACATCCAGTCAAACCCCCTCTCAAAGTTTTATTAAAAAAATTAAATTATCAATAATTTATACTGTGTAAAATCTGTTTGGGTCCATAGTAGTAAGTACATGGATAGAGAGTGAAAGAATGTATATTCTGTTTCTAAGGAGCAGACTCCCCTTCCCTAATTTTCTATGTATATACCATTGGAGCCTTCATTATATATTCAAATCTAACGAACAGACCACAACTTAACTTCTTTTGCTTACAGTGCTAGAATTCTTAAAGAGCTGAGTGTTAAATAGTATTCACTATAGGTTGAGTAATTTCAGAAGATAGTACTAAAGCTAGACATGAAAACAATTAGAATACTTTTGAACCCTATGTTGTCTTACCAATCTTGAGTTTGTGACTGAGATATTATTGTTCAAATCCAAAACTTAAAAAGTTGTCTTTTTTAGAATCTGGATTATTGATCACAAACTCTTTGAAGGGGAAGCTTATGTAAAAGACAGATTTAAAGGAAGGATTAGGGTAAATGCCCGCAGAGTATATATCACTGGAATGGTCAAATACCAGGTATTTTGATATAATGCAAAAAAAATTATTTTAATTGGACTTACCTTTCAATGTTTTATTTTTTATGGAACAATCTTATTATCTTCTTCTATGACTTTTGTTCTAAACTTACATAGATATTAAGGATAATGTCTTATAAAGTTAAAATAACTAGTATCTAGAATTCAGAAATTCTAAAAAAGCAACTATGAATTCCTCTCAACTTACTTTGAGATTCAATACTAATGTCTTTATTACTTTTGTCTGCATCTCTTCAGGCATCATTACATTTTAGGTAACATTTGGCCACTGTGGGTTGGTCCCTAACCAGGTTGGAGCATACAAGTATTCTGAAAAGATGCTGGGATTCATTAAAAAATGCCAAGACTTGAACACTCTTCAAGTTGAGCTGGAAGATTATATGAAGTGAGTTTTATCTTCAATTAAAATTTCACATTAGTTAAATTAAATATTAGTTTGAATTTATTCTCTTTCAGGAAGAAAGGGGAGAAGCAAGAAGACGTCAAGTAGCAAAGCTGCACACAAGAATTTCATCTTGTAAAATCAAGAAAATTATTTTTAAACCATTTTCTCAAATCTCTTTTGTCTGAGTAAATTGTAGGAAACACAAACTTGATCATCATTATTTTGCTTGTTAATTTTGGCACTAAAGCTGATGATATGAATGATTTTTTTATCAACTTTATGATGTGTTGTAATTTGAATCCTAGAATCTTACATAATTGACTAAAAAATGCTGAAGGATTTGTTTATGGATATATGAACTCAGCCAGTTTATATGGAAATCAATGTCATGCATTTTCTTTAGATTTTGCACATAGGTTAGCATATTATGAGATCATTAAATCCAAATTTTTAGGCTCCTGTGTGGGGTTTCCACTGGAATTAATTCCTAGTAATGGTTTACGTACGGAAATGATCTGGAAATTTTTTCTTTGTGGAAAAGGTTCCGAAAATCCTGAATTTCGGAATGATTTCCTAAACCTTTTTTTTCCCTAAACCGGAAATTTCCGGAACATTGTTCCAGAATTTCGGAACGGTACGGAATATTGTTCCGGAAAGTTCCGGTTTAGGCAACAATCGTACCGGAATTTTTTCTTTAGAAAAGGTTCTGGAAAACGTCAAGGACATCTTAAACTTAATCATAGAATGTGCGCCTGGTTTAGCTGAAGTTAAAGTAATACTACTGTGAACTATCATGAAATATAAATCCTGACTGCCATGTCTCAAAATAATTTCATCTACAGAAAACTGTGGAAAGGAAGATGACATATATAGCAATCCTTAAGTCTATTTGATGTTGTTACAAAGCAAATTGGTTAACCCCCTGTAGTTTTTTTTGACAGCACTCTCATTTTTGTCACTATCACCCTGAAATTTTGTGTTTAATGAATAGATTTAAAGGATTTTTTGTTAAATTTGTTTTATTTTTTTATTTATAGGGTAGGGTACAGGTTGGAAAAAAAGTCTAAAATAACCCATAACTTTTTTATGACTAAAGCTACAGATCTAAAAACTTTAGTTTTGAAAAGCCCTTGAAAAATGCATGTAGAAACATGTGATATTCGTTTAAAACAAAAAAATATTTTTTCATTTTTTTACCTTATTTAGGAATTTTTTCCACCCTCCCTAGCACCCAAACTATTAAAGTTATCAGTCTAATTTTTTGTTTCTTAGATCTGGTCATGAAAAATTGGGCTATGAACATGCATTTGAGCCCTATACCTATTCTCTAAGTCCTTTTTCTAGGGGGGGGGGCGCCAAAAGGCCCTCCCCTAGGCTATTTATAGGGTTAAATAGTAACTTTAAAAATCACTTTTAAATAGGTCTGTATACAGTTTAGTAAACATTATGTAATTGCTGTGTCTCATGTTCATTGGACTATTTAAAGTCATAATAAAGTCTAAAAATCGTCCTTCTAATCCAGAGTTTTCTGGTTATCACTCTATTTAAGTACTTGGCTAGTCTGTTTTTTTGTCCATTTGTATCCATTAAATGTCAAAACAGTTGAACCAACCAGGTTCAAAATTTGTGAGGCAACTCACATGGCCCAAGGAAAGGTTTAAAAATGGTTTAAAAATTTGTGCATGAAAAATTTATCCACCAATTTAAAGCCTAGTTTATATAAACTCTAATTAATATGGTTCATTTCATTACATCCTGATGAAATACGCAGGGGGGATGAGGGGGGGCATATGCTAAGCTGATGACCCTCTTGAAAAATAAAAATAATTTGTCAACAAATATTTCAGGGAAGGTGAAAACTGTAACCGTAAAATAGTCATGATGATCCAAAGTAAACTATTTGTGAATATACAATTATAGCATAGAATGCATATTTAATATGTCAATTAATAAGTTTTAACTTTTAATGTTTTAACATTGCTTTCTATGTCTAACATTGTGTTAAAATTTCTGGTTTACAAAATGGAAACTGGAAATTTTAAGGTTATGTTAGGTAAACCAGAAAAATTTCCGGTTTACAAAATGGAAACCGGAAATTTTATGGTTTTCATTTCATCCGGAATTATTTACACAACAAATTTTCAGATCATTCCATTTCCAAAATGGAAATTTTTTTCCAAAAAAATGGAAACCCTACTCCTGTTACTTTTGGTCATGGCCTCCTATAAAAAACCCTCGAGGCAATTTTTGCCCCAACCTTGTATGCTTCAATTGGCAATAACATAAAATTTTGGATTTGATGTTTCCTCAAAATATGCTAGCTGTCAGCCAAATTTTTATAAATCTATATAGTATAGGGTGGCTGACTTGATATAGTATTACCTGTATTTAAATCATTAAATTAAATCTAAATCAATCCCATCTTTAAATAAATCTTTTTACCTTCCTTAAACTTATTATTTTGTTTTAACTTACTCTTTTGATGAGGATTGAAGTTTTATCATACATTATTGTTGAATATAACATAATATTATGTACTAAAAGTATTAAAAAAATTCTGATTTTTTCAGAAATATGTTATCAAGGCATATACTTAAAATTAAGAACTGGCCAGTTCATACCTTATCATTCAGAGGAGTCAAAGGAAACAGAACAGAAATTGGTAAGCAGTATATCCCATGATTAATCATGAGTGCAAAGAAAGAATTTGTATAGTGTTAAATATTTTCTAAATAACCAACTTAAGTTTATTATTTGTTCTCAGTATTTTAAAAAAAGATTTTATTTATTAATTGAAGATGGCAAATGTCACTTTTATAAGGAAGAACTTAAAGGGTCTATAGATGTAATTTCAATTGACCCTCCATTGAAAAGAGTGGCATTTTTTATTCATAATGATACATATGAGGTATGAATTAGATACCCTTAATTATTGAAAGCTGATAATTTTAAATTGCAGTTTTTACTTAGAAGTGCCTTGCAATTGAGAAATTATTAGAATTTAACACATTTGAAATTAGAATAAAGGAGTTATCTGCCTAGTTATTGATAAAACACAGAGCTCAAGGGTACTGCTGTGAATTAGGCATGCCCATTAATGAAAGATGTTAAAATTACAATGACATACTGATAGGAATATTTTTTTTAGTTGACTCAGAAATTGGAACATTACATCTTTCAGTTAATGATGATGATCATTCAGCCAGGATTAAGGTTATTACTAAAAAATATCAGTTTTTAAATAACTTTATTTTACATTTTTTCAACATAGAATGGAGATAATTCAGCCAGGATTAAGGTTATTACTAAAAAATATCAGTTTTTAAATAACTTAATTTTACATTTTTTCAACATAGAATGGAGTTAAGAGAGGAGAAATTGAAGATCTTAATCCATATGTCTCAGATATGTAAGTATCACTTAATTTCCCATGGGAAAATTCTTAACAGTATATAAACACAACTGAAACTTATCTTAGTATGGTGAATTAACATCACATAATCATATTAGGCATTAATCACTAGTGTCTTTGAGTCCTGTTAGGTTCTACAAATGGAGTAAATGTCCTATTAAAAGAGAAGGGAAGTTTTTTTTTTAAATACTAGACTGTGACAAATGTGAACTCTTTTATTCATTGATTGAACACATTGATTTTTGAAAACAATTGTTTTCATTATACCCCCCCCCCCACACACACCTTATGATAGGCTTGTTTTATTCCAGTATAGTTTTAATAACAATTAATGATTATAGATTATTTATTTCCTTATTTGTTTAAATGCATTAAATTGACTTCATACTGTAATTCTGAATTTGTTTTTTAAATTTAATTTAAAATCCTTTAGCCCTGAAGAAGGTAAAAGGGAGAGGTCTTTAAACAGCGTCAACTTGATTGGTAGAGTTGGAAACATCCCAGTGATGCGAGGAACACAAGACAAGCCTGTTACAGTGTTCAGGTAGATCAAAATTTAAGGTTACATTTACTTCTAGGGAGATTTTTAAGAAGAGAATGAGTCATATCTTTATTTTTGCAGGGGGCTAAAATCAAAAAGTTTTTTCTTCAAAATTTCAGTTTTCAAATAGAGGTACAACACTATGGGGCAATTTCATCTTGCACCAGCAAGGAGTATAGTATGGAATATAAGGGAGAAGGAGTCAACCTGGGCCGCCCTACCATATAGTTATACATGCTTTGCAGATGGTACTCCATTTGAATACAAAATATTTGGCTGATGTACAAATACAGCCAACATGTATTCAGAATAGGTTATTCTATACATTGAACAGTAAAAAAAGTAGGCTGAAAAACACAAAACAAACACATTTTGTTTGGTTGTAAAAATATTGGCAATTCAAAAAAATTGGTTTTCTTAAACATGGTTTAGTAAAAATCAACATAAAAAAAGTTTAAAAGACTATCTTTAAAAACTTTTATAAAGCATGTAAATCATTTGGCAGGGTGGGTTGGGTTGATTCCTTTACCATTATATTTCATACTCCTTGTTGGCCTGTTTTAAATTGTTTTGCTAAAATATAGATAAAATTTAGATGTTTTTTTTATATCTTTTAACCCCATTCTTTTTTTTTGTGTAGATCAATATGCTAATATAATGTAAGGGAGAAAAAAATCTTCTGAATAAATGAAGATTCATATCAAATATTTGCCTTGATGCACTGAATTTAGAAACTATAAACTTTGTTACCTATCTCAGTTGGAGCCACTCTTCATTTTAATAAAAATATGTTTTTTATTGCAGATTTTTTGGTTTTATTTGAAAATTTTCAAAATTACCAATAAAGTTATAGATGTGGTTTTCTACCCACACTGGTCCTAATATTTCAGCTATTGAAACATTTATCATGAAATAAACAATTTATATTTAGTGATTGTAGCAACAACTAAAGGACCAAAATAAACGAACTGAATGTGTATTGAATTCTTACTTACAACATGATATTAAAACTATATATATATATATTTGGTTTGGAATTCAGAACTTCTGGACTGAAGGGCGATATTTACAGATCTCCACAGGGGTCCCTCCAGCATCAGAGTGATGAACTTGATGAGGAACTCTATGCTTATTTCGAACTTCTCTTCAAGGGTTCTGACAAACTAAGAGAGGAGTAGAATGCTGAGGTGAGAATCAAACTCTCTTCTTCATTCTCTCTGCTTTCTGGAGAGGTTGAAGTTAACAGAGCCAGAGTTAATGGAGTGGGAGTCAGGAGAGCATGAGTCAACAGAGCCAGAGTCAACAGAGCCAGAGTCAACAAAGCCAGAGTCAACAGAGCGGGAGTCAAAGGAGCTGGAGTTAACGGAGCCTGAGTCACCAGAGCCCAAGCCGAGGGAGGTCTTCCACATCTGGGAGGTTCCTGAGCAATTAAAGGTTTTTTAAGAAAAAATAGGTTAAAGTCGGTCCACGGGAACAGAGTCGGACTTGGAACCAACAGGGTGAGTCAAAAAAGTGTGATTTACGGCGCCTGGTGCAAAAGTGAACCTTTTTTGTGCAACTCTTCTGTATGGTGTTTTTCAATATTTTTTGAAAATTTTTTATTTTTTTGGTACTCTATAATTGTCCAAAAATAAATCCGCAAATCCTTTTTTTTTCTCTCAAAATCTAGAGAGAAAAGCAAAAAAATCTCTAGTTCCTTTCTTCTTAGTATACTCAAAAGTTAAAAATATACGCTGTTCAGTTGAAACCTGATGAACCATTAAAAAACAACTTCAAGTCTGAAAATTGAAAATTTTCTTATTACAATTTTGCCACTTTTCTCTGCTACTTCAGCTGCTCCTACAAACCGAGATGCTTCTACTGCATTCTCAGCTGCTTCCTTAACTAACATTGCTGCTCTTGAAGTCCCTGCTCAATTAATTGTTCTTCAAATCTGAGATGCTCTTACTTCCTTTGCTGGACTCGCGACAGGTCTGTGAAGAGCTGCTCTACAATGAGCGGCATCTCCATACCCAGAAGCATCTGGAGAGTATAGACCAGCCTCTGGCGTACTGGCGGGGTAATCTAGTTCTTTGTACGAACACTATCTGCTCCAAGTCTCTAGTAGCTGGACTGGATTTCCTAGTTCTCCTGTATGTCCTGAAAGTCTGAGCTCTCCTATGTGTCTTAGAAGTCTTGGTTCTCCTGTGTGTCCTGCAGCTATTTCTACAACAGATATGTGAAGAGCTGTCTTCAAAGTTCAGCATCTCTTGTCACAAGATTATCTTGTTCTTCTATGATGTGTTTGTGGAGAGCTTTATGTAAAGAGCAGCGTGTCCAGTATCAGATTTAGCTTCTGCTCCTGGAGTCCTAAGTCTGACTAAATCTTCTAGCTGCCCCAGATCTATGTCTGTAAATAGCAGCGTCCCCAGTTTCAGGTTTAGGCAGCATCTGATATCTTGAATATCCTAATTCTCTTCTGTATCCAGGATATTCCAGTAGGTAGTTCAGACAGGCTGGTACATGATCAGTTGGTCCAGTTCTAGAAACTACAGGATATGAATCTCTTGATGAGATCACAGAAGAGTATGGTGGAATCTCTTGATGAGATCTACAGACAAGTATGGTGAACCCATGTGTTTATCCCTCCTAAACCAGTTGGAGAGTAAAGAGCATCCTCTGATATCTTCAGTGATAATGATGACTCCAAGGATATATCTTCTTGTATAATGAGGTGGAAGTAGGCCAGTGTCCTCCTTAGTCCCCTTGGTTGGCATGATAAAGATATATCCATCTGTTGGCTGACTGTTAGCTGTATGTTGTGCAAGCCAACAAGCCTTCCTATACAAACAGGAGATTAAACTCCGTGCCTGTATTCTAGAAAGGTTCAAATTCTTCAGGTTTTCTACTCTGCTCAGAGCCGGAGAAAGGTTTGAAAGGTTTTCCAGTATACGATCATACGATCAAATATTACATCATGCTTAAAATATTACAATATTCTGATCATCTTCACTTACAAACATTGTATCAATTGTAGCTTTCATTGATTTATAATGATTTCAATTTATAATTACTTTTCCTGTTCATATATTATCCTTGAATGGATCCTGCAAACCCGCAATATATTTAGAAGTTGTCTTTGTGAAAGAGTGCTTTTTTGAGAAAAAAAAAATATATTTAATAGCAAAAGTACAAGAGAGCACAGGAGTTCCGGGATAATCTATATATATAAATAGAACTTTACAGCCATAAAGAAAAATTTAGGGGTGACTTTTCCTCTACTCCTTTTCCTTCTCCTCCACCTCTCTTTGTTAACCTCTAGTTCTAAATTGTTTTTGTTTTTTTTTGTTTTTATTTAATTTAACATGAATGTATCGCTGCAAAAGGGCCTCTCAGTCAAAACAACCAGCAATGGTTAGAGAGTAGAGACGTCCTGGCTAAATTAAAATGTAAAAATTGTGTAATTGTAACTGATCTTTATTAAAATATTTAGTCAAATATATATATTTCTATTTATCTATCCCTGCTGAAGTTTCAAAGTTTTTACACCACCAAAATATGTTTTCCCTTTATTTATCATTTTTACATTAAGTCTCATTTAAATCTAGTTTGGCGACTAATACAATGTGGAAATCTGTGGACAATCAGTGGTCAACAAGAACTGACTGGCACAACATTGCTGTCTTTAAGAAGGGGTAAGAATATCATTTAGTTTTATCAGAGGTCGGAACTTTATCCGGAATGCTTGATCTTGAAATCCATTGTGGGCCCTTTTGAATTTGAGAACAAATGCTTGATTCCATGATTTAAGTAATCCCTATACAATCCAGAGTAATGCCACCACAAAATATTGAAGAGGAATAAAATTCATCTTTAGGTCTTATTAAAATGAAGACCAATGATTGATCTTGAGATTCACAACACAAAAGTTCTGACTTGTTCATCCTTCATTTTAGGGCTAAGGAGTTAGGATCCATTTTGTAAAATTGTGAAATTTTTCTTATTCATCACTAAATTATTTAGAAACTTGATTTTTCACTCGTTGATAAGGAATGTTTTATGATATGAGCTTAAAAATTAATATGAATGATGAGAGCTTAAAGATCTGGTAATTTGCAAATTATTTAGGAATCAGTTGATCATCTGAATATTTCCGCGGACCCAGTTTCCAGCAGATCCTAAGCATTGCTACATTTATTCATACTATTTAAACTTTACAAAAAAATGATTTAACCATAGTCTTGAGGGGTCTAAATCTAGGGTGTCGTCCTACCTCCCAGAAAAAAGACAAAGACGAATAGTTAGGGTGCTAGGGATGTTTGAAAAAAGTCCAAAATAAAAGTTGGGGGAAATGTAAAGAATATTTTTTGTTTTTTGACAAGTATGAGGATGGGACACATGTTTTACATTAATTTTTAAAAATGTAGTTTTTATATCTGTACCTTTAATGACAAAAAAGTTCTGGTCTATTTTAAGTTCATTTTTAACACGAACCAGCCTTTTAACTGTCCTGTATACCCTATGCTTTAAAAAAAAATCTTCTTTTATTAAATCCTGAAGGCAAAAAAAACAAAAGAAGGGGGGCGTCCACTGTCCCCCCCCCCCTCCCAGATCCTGTTCAGGATAAACCAATTAAAGTTTTGAATTGCATCCTTAGGTCTTTTGAACATTTAAGTTCAAACAGGCTTATTCTTTATGAACTTCTATAATTTCATACAGGGTTATTGTTTATGAACTTCACGACCTCAGCCATTTTTTTGAAATCATGGAAGTCATTGTCATGGATTTTTTTTTAATTTGGCGCATAGGTAGCCTTTTATGAGAAAGCATTAAATCGAAAATTTTAGACACCTGTAACCTCTGGTCACTGAGTTATGGCCTCTTAAAATTCAGGCCTCATTGCAATTTTCAGCTCAACCTCGTATGTTTTAATTGGTCGTATCAAGATATTTTTGTAATTGGAATTTCACTATAATATTTTTTAAACTTTTCATCTATGTAAAAAAATAAAACCGATTTATGGTATAAAATGTCTGTTAAGTGTTAATGCAAGGAGAACAGAAATGAGGGGACAAATCAAAAATTACTACAGTGTGTGGTTTTTCTGTTATTCGATTTTTCTTAAAATAATTACAGCCAAATTTTGATCTATTTTCAACAATCTGGATTTAATAATGACTGACAGAATCAAATAGCAAATTGTTATTTTTTCATATTCCTTATATTTTTTGTGTTAATTAAATTAAGATTGAGAGAGCATGCTTACAATACTGTGGAGAAAGGGCAGAGGCTACATATCCAAGGAAAAATACTTTATGGAGAGGTTAGTGTTCAATTGAAACATTTTTGCATAAAGTTGGCTAAATCTATAAGCAAAATTCAAACTACATAAACAATCATAATAACCATTAATTTTTGTTCATGTAAATATTTTTATAATCTTTGATAATGTAATTTTGATTTTCTTATAAACTAATTATTGTTTATTAAAATATTTTTAGATCTTTGATAATGTAATTCTGATTTTCTTATAAACTTTAACTTAATTTTTGTTCATGCAAATATTTTTAAATCTTTGATAATGTAATTTTGATTTTCTTTTTTGTCATGCTTGAAGGGGTTGGGTTAAAGAATTATTTATTGTTATTGTAAAGAAACTACCTTCTTTATTCAAATTCAAATTTTATAATTCATAAAACTTGATCGTAGACTATATTAATTCTACTTGATCAACCAGTCTAGCATTGTAATATCACAGGTTCAGGCCATCAGGTTTCAAAATTACAGGGAACAGATTAAGATATTTAAATGCGCGTAGTACAAAGTACTTTAGGTGACAGACGCTGCAGGCATTCGGAGGCATACAACAACCATTGCTGTTGATGACATAATTTTCCTAGCATCACCCAAACTTAAATAAGTTGCGTAATGAGTATACAACAACAAACAGGAAACAACAAACACTTCCAGGATTTAATCATTTAATCAACAAACAGGGGGACCCAGTAAGCATGGGTATTAGTGCTAGTTATTGGAGATGTTTTTTTCCCATGTGGCATTTTTTCATGAATATCTATATTATTTGAAGAAAATGTTAATGTGTGTTGCGTAATTTCCCTGCAGACCAAGACTATATTTACATAAAATCAGTCCAATTTATTTTCTACTTCCAGGGCACCATACTACTGTTCAGCCTGTACTAAATTATATGACTCACTGTTAAAAAATGCTTATTTAATTTCATCGATAAATTAAAAATAATAGGTTAAAGAAATCGCTAACACAATTTTTTTTTTTAAATAAGTATTTTTTAATGAAGAGTTAAGATTAAGATGTTAAACTAATGTAAAAAATGTCTAAAATATGAATAATTTATTCGAAAATATACAAAATGTTGATTTTGGAAGAAACATTAAAAGTTTTTGTAAAGCCTGTACCTAGACCATACATCTGTGCTGTGAGGAATTAAAGTTTGTCGTGTTTATACCTATCATACTTACTGAATACATTTTTTATCAGAACTTATTTTTTATTCATCATATTGTATTGTTTTCTTTTATGTTTAATAGACTTTTCCTTATCTTCATCAAAATGTTCTTGGCATCTTTGAAAGGTGAAACCCATTCTTTAAAACCTGTTTTTAATTTTTGATTTCATATTCTTAGCTTCTTTGTTGTTTCAAAATACGTTTGACATATGCAACGTGCTGTAATTGTTAATAATGGGCAATGGCATGGTTCGTAGTGTTTTGGCTACAGTGGTTGGCAATTATATCAATACAATGAAGATAACTTTTTATCAATAATGCTTTGACGAGCATTCTTTCTAATTACAAGTTAACAAAGAGAAGCTGTTAATTGACAACTTTTCTTTGTTCACATGTTTGTGTCTCCGCTGTTTTATAGATTGGTAGAAATTGAAATTGAAATAGTAAGTCGTCTTCATTGTCTTGATACATACGACAACGACTGTATTAAAATATTCCACATTTCTACATAACAAATAAATAAAATGAAGCGGAAACTAGTTTCTGAAATTTTCTCTGGAACAAAACAGTTGGTAAATGTTTAAACAAATTTTGATTTTGTGGGTCCTTTTATCTGTTCAAAAACCTTAAACTTTTATAGAACGATCCAAGTTATTGCCCTTCGTGCAGCAAGTCGATTGTTATTAATTTAGACAAAAAAGGGAACGAATGGGAATAACTTGGATTTAAGTTGCTTCATTATTAGTTATTTTTGGTTACCTTTAATTTACAAGGTCTTTCTGAAATCCCAATAGTTAAGTTTAAATAAATGATTTGCCTAAGAATGTAAACGGTCGTTGCTAACTAGAATCATTAACGTCGGAGGATAATCTGAATTATTTCCGTCCAGTCGTCTCTGAAGTCTCATTCTTTGTGGGTAACCCTTCAGTAAAGTAAATATTACTATAGAAAAATTCGCAATGTTTTTTTTAATTAACATATAAAGGGTGGACATGTTCCACCCAAGGGTGTATAAAGGGTGTAAAGAGAGGGGGCTAGATCTCAGAGCTATCACACTGTACATCTAAGAGTAAAGAGAATTTATAAAAAGTTTGCGCTTCTCGCATATTTTGCCCCCCCCCCCCCCCCCTAGATTTATTTCTGTATACGCCCTCGGACTCCCACCCGTAAAAACTAAGATCATTTGTCATCAATTATTTTATCAATGTTAAAATATTTTAGTCCTGTTAGTAGTAACGTTTTAGGTTCAAGATTGCGCTTACCTGGATTATCCAATGAACCCCAACCAACCTCTTTTGTGTCATAATAAAGGTTAAATAAACGTAAAAGAAGAATTATTGTTAATTTAATATATTCCGTTACAATCCATCTTGTAAGGTAAGCTTGCAGCCACCCTTTATTCGCCCTTGGGTCCTTATCCTAATATCTTTCTTTGTTCCTTTTATACTGGCAGTTTTCCAGGTAGCCTCCCTCCCCCTTCGGACCAGGTAACCCCCCTCCCCGACTCCGACAAAGCCTACGTATATGATCACCACCTGTCTCCGGGTTCCACATGTGTCTTGAACCCATCCCTTCTCTCACCACTCTTATCTCCTGCATCAAGCTAAGGTTAACTACGCCAGGGGCCCCCAGGACTTAAAATGGAGTGGTGGGGTCCATGCTTCAATTGACAGGGACAAGGGCTTTTTAGCAAGGAGGTTTTCATTCGCACCCAGTAAACACACAAGGATTAAAATAGATACTCCAGATATTAATTCATTGGTAAATCATTTTGATTAAGTTTTAAATAGGGTTTCCATTCGCAAAACTTTTGCGCAATTTTTATGAAAGAAAGCACAAATTTTTGCTTTTGTTGCGCTTCATTTTTGCGCGAAAAAAAATAGCACTTTGCGCAATCATTCGCAAACTTCATTTCGCGCAAAATTGCGCTATTCCACTTTTGCTTGTTAACACAAAGTTTCCTGGTATTGGAAAGGTACCCAAATCCTTCAACAAATTAGCCATCTGTTCCGCTAGACAAGGTTGCCGAGGTTGCCCCTATCTGATGTCGGAAGCATGTGTGTTAACGTTAAGAATCTAAATATTCATTAACCAATGAAAACTGTTCTTATATCATCGTCGCCAATGAAAACTGTTCTTAAAACATCGACTCCAATGAAAACTGTTCTTATATCATCGTCTACAATGAAAACTGTTTTAATCTCCTTTCTTTAAATGGAATATGTTCTAATCTATTTATTTGAAAACTGTTTTAATCTCTATTTAAATAAAAACTGTTCTACTCTCTTTTTAAATAAAAACTTTTCTAATCTCTCCTTAAATGAAAACTGTTCTAATCTCCTCTCTTGAAATGAAATGTGTTCTAATCTATTTATATGAAAACTGTTTTTATCCCTCTTTAAATGAAAACTGTTCTAATTTTTCTTTAAGTGAAAACTGCTATAATTTCCTCTCTATAAGAAATCTGTTTTAATCTCCCTTTAAATGAAGTATGTTCTAATCTATTTAAATGAAAACTGTTTTAATTTCTCTTCAAATGAAAACTGTTTTAATTTCTCTTCAAATGAAAACTGTTCTAATCTCCTCTCTCTAAATGCAAACACTGTTCTACACTCCTCCCTTCAATCAAAATTATAGGAAAATTGATCCGGGGTTCCTGAGTATATAGTGAGATCCAGAAAACTCTGAAATAGGAAGACGACTTTTAGAATCAAGTTATAACTTTAAAAGTTCCATGAGCATGAGACCAAGTAATTGTGCAGTGTAAATTCAGAACCAATTCACTAAATTAGTGATAAAGAAAGTGTAATTAAACTAATTTCTTTGTAACAACTTAAAATACACTTAAGTATTGCTGTCAAGTCGTCTTCATGTTCCATTGTTTTCTGGTTATTACTGTACTGTACTGTACTGTACTGTGCTTTTTTTATCGACAAACAGAGATCACTACTTTTTATAATATATATATTTAGTTATCAACGATAAAAATTGTAAATTTGAGGTACCCTGTGCTCTACTTGATATATTCTCTATTAGCCCCCCACCCTTCCTTTAATTACAATAAAAGATTAAGTTTCCTTCCAGAATGCATTTTTGCAATCATGCATAATAGAATTCTGTTGAAAATTAAGATTGAATGCAGGGCACTGCTGTAGCAAGGATTACACAGATAGGGCAACAGAGATTGTTACTCAAATTGATCCGGGCAAAATTGGAAATCAAAGATATAAACCCAATTGATCTTAAACAGTTTTATTGTACCTTTCTAATCCATCTTAGTAATCTATGTTCAGTCTAATCTTAGCACCAGATTTCAAGTATTGATTACAAACCGTATATATAAACATAATGCACTACACTCGCACAGCTAATCTAGCAAAACAGGTATCTAGGTCACGTCGATCCAAAAGTTCGAGTGGCTGCTGAATTTATTCCACTTCACCCAATGACAATTTGTGTATCTTCAATCTTCATTATGCCTATTGGGGTATTCTTTAAACAAAAATAGAAAAATTAGTTCGAAACATATAGGAACTATTTCTTGACTGAGAAATTTTATATTTGTTAACTATATTATATAACTATATTTTTGTAAAATTAAACTCTAAAATTATTTGAACTCCGGCCCCTAACCATGTGTTAAAAAACTTCCTACCCAGGGTTGTATTTTATTGATCAAACCAATTAACTATTATGTTTTTACATAATAAAATAATTTTGTTTAACGGGTTGAATAGGGAATCCCAGAAACATGAGAAAAAGTTAAGTAAAGTAAAATTCTAAATTATTCTAACTCCGGCTCCGTCCTCTCACCATATGTTTAGAAAAAACGTTGTGGGGTTTTTATTTATCAAACAGAGTATTTATTATGATTCGTTATTTATATAAAAAAGTATAAAAAAAGTTTGTTTAACATGTTTAAAAATCAAGAAACAGGATGAACATAAGAATATGTCGGATTGTAACCTGACTCCTCTATCTCCTGTCATCTGTATATGACAGATTGTTTGTTTGTTTGTGTACTGCAGCAGGACAGGATGTTAGCTGACCGGAAACCAGTATATGGGTCATGCTGGGAGGGTTAGCGTATCGTTCGTTTATATATAAATATATATACAGGGTGTCCCAAAAAACATGGGAATTCGTTGACGAATTGGATATCGTCTTTGTTATTTATTAGCAATGTAATACCTAATTTCAAAACCCATAATATTATTATATCTGCTAGAGTTTATTTTATAAAAAGGATAAAAGACTGTAAAGATGTGTCTATAATGTCTCCGCAAGATTAACAGTGAAGACGGACAAGTTTCCTCTGTTTGTATATACTTTAATTTTCTTGTTTTACGAAGTGCAACCGTATCAGTTAAAACATAAAAAAATAAGATGTGAACATAGCAGACGAAACTCTTACAGATTATACAGCTTTCTCAGTAGGTATCATTATACTAAATCAAAAGAATTATTTAAAAAAGACGATATCGAATTCGTCACTGAATTCCCATGTTTATTGGGACACCCTGTATACAGTGGCGTACATAGGGGGGGGGACAGTAGTCCTCTTGCCCCCCCCCTGGAAAATACAAAATTAAAAGGAAACAAATTTAAAAACTAACACCTGACAATGACAAAGACTAAGGATTTGTCTAAATTCACTGTTAACACAAAATTTTAAGATACTTTAAACTAAAACTTTTGCAAAAACGAGACCTCGACATATCAGATGCTTATAACATGATGGAAGATGTAATAAAGGTATTTTATTTTCTATTTTTCTATTTTTTCTTACAGTCAATCAATAAAGGAATTGAGTCTTTGGCATAAACTTAAATATTTAAACCTTTGGAATCTGATGTTGTAAACCTTTGATATTTCAAATTCAGAATATTTGATCTAACAGAATTCATAGTTTGAAATATCTAAGGTCTACAACATTTGGTTCCTAAGATATAGTGATTAGAAAATCAGAGTTTGTGGCAAAGACTCAATTCCTTTATTTACATAAAGAGATATTAAGCGTAATTTCAAGTTCCC